AGAGTTGAGGCTAACTTTATGTTCAATACAAGAGAATATCCTAGAGATTCATGTGAAAGACCGCTGGTATATTAACTAGAAAGTGTTGTATCAGACAACAATGTTATCTGGAGCAACTATACTGGGCGTCCTGATGGAAAGTGCCTGAAAAGTGATGCAATAAAGAACCTCAAAGAAATCAGAGTGGTATCACAGAAGCTAGAGCTTGATGTTGAGCAGGTATGATTGAATAGATGTTTCACCTTTGAAAATTTCAAATTTGAGCCATTTTATTTTAATGTCAACAGTCCTGCTCCATTCATAGTTACAACTTGTCCTTCTCTATTCCAGATGATGGCTCCTCGTCGGCAGTACTGTGAGATTTCAGCTTTGCATAATGAATTAATGGTTATCAACATTAGAAAATGCGGAGCTGATGAATTGATTTTAGTGAACGGTTAACCCTTCTGCAAGAATGACTACTGTTGTGGAAAAAATGAAACAGACGAAGCATGCGGAACTTCAATTAACTTTTGCTCACGTCACGCTGTTAACTGTGTTTGTGAGGTAGTTTTGTTGTTTTATATGCATGTTTGTTGAATTGAATGACTTCAATCCAACATCCTTTATCTGCAAATTCAAAATTTCTTGCAACTCCTTTTCCCCCCAAATATTTGCAAAAGGCTCAGTTCTCTTTAGTACAGGTGAAAAATGCCCATTTCCATTTTTACTGCAATCATCACAAGCAAGTTTTCCCATCAGGTGAAATATTGTATATTCCAGGTAAATTATAAGCTTTCTGTATGTTTGACATCTTTAAGTCTTTTTAGAGTCAGGTGCTTTCTGAATAACTCTGTTGCATCTTATCATTTCCATTCCCAATCTCAGGAGAGGAGATTCATTACTAAAGCGGATCTCGGACCTTTTGTTTAGCAATCATTATTGAATAGCGGAATGCTCCTTTGATGAAATGGAAACATCTGTTATCTTACCATTGAAGAGTTTGATAAACGGTGACGAAGGATGTGACTGTTTTTTGTTAAATGGATTGGCCTGATTAACTGATATTATGTTTGGAAGATCAGAGGAGGCATCAGGTATGTGAACAAAGGTGCAAACCGATGAGTTGAAGCATCATGGAAAAATCCATACGCCTTGTATTTGTACCCTGTATGCTATCTTGTGAAAATAATCGAAGTTTTCATCAAAAGCAAATAGCGTTGATTATATTCTTAATGCCTTGTAGCTGATATCCGATCGATTTGAAAATTCCCTCGGGTTGATGTTGTGTGGTTGAATATGGATATTTGTGATATGCATACTGTCAAGTCAATCAGCTGTTATACAATGATTATTTGACATGGAGGCGCCGTTGGTTTGTTTTTGGAATGCCTGGAATTATGCAGATAAGAGGGAATAAAGAAGGATTACCACCAGTTTTGACAACACGCTCCTTCAAGTATATCAAATAAGCTTGATTACTTCATTTGTGAATTTATAATGTGTTATTCACGTTTCACATTGGTTAATGAAATTTGGTGGCTAATATCAATAAACACCCTAACTACCACTTATCAAACAAAGACTAAAGTTAAACAAATTCTCCAAAACCCAATCTTCTACCCATCTGCTGAACTTCATTTTGATCTCATCTTCTTCTTGTGTCACTTATCTTGTTATATCGGTATTGTTACTCGAAAAAGCAAAGCCGTCTTCGCATGTATATTCTTCTCACCCAGATGCTTATACACCGACTACCATGGAGCATATAGTGTTCGGGATAGCTTCGAGTCGGAAATCATGGCTGAAATGAAAGGAGTATGTTAACCTATGGTGGAAGCCCCAACAAATGCGAGGATGTGTGTTCCTTGAAAGCATGCCTTCTAATGCAACTTTAATGGATGAAAATATCACTCTGCCTCCTATTTGCATCTCGGAGGACACTTCACGGTTTCGTTACACGTACAGAGGCGGTCTTCGGTCGGCGATCCGCGTTGCACGTGTAGTTTCGGATATTGTTGCACTTAATCATCCTAATGTGAGGTGGTATGTTTTGGGGATGATGACACTGTTTTCTTTCCCGATAACTTAGCGAAGACACTTTCCAAATATGGTCATCGGCTTTGGTACTACATCGGGGCTGGTTCGGAGATTTATGAATAGAACAGGATTATCGGGATGGCATTCGGTGGAGCAGGCTTTTGTATAAGCTATCCTCTGGCTAAATTTTGGCAAAAGTTTTCTATTCTTGTATAGGACGTTATGCTCATCTGTATGGAAGCGATTCCAGGTCTACTCTTGCTTGACAGAGCTTGGTGTTGGCTTGACACATGAACCCGGCTTTCATCAGGTACAAATCAGTTAAAATCGTAAACTGCTGCTGAATTTTGGTTCCTGCAAACTTGTTTAGCCATACGAATTCGGTTCAAACTTTGTTTCAATGCTTATGTTCCTGTTTGAATTTCGACCAGTTTGATGTCCGGGGCAATGCACATGGTTTGTTGGCTGCTCATCCATTGACACCCTTGGTATCACTCCATCACATAGATCATATAGACCCAATCTTCCCTAACATGACAACTACCAAGGCACTGCAACACTTGCTCCATGCTACAAATGTTGATTCTCAGAGAATTTTGCAACAAACGATCTGCTACGATCGTCGGTTTTCACGGACAGTTTCGGTTTCTTGGGGTTATGCCGTTCAATTATACGACAAACGCATACCTTTACCTGATGTTCTCCCTGTTCCAGAAACATTCAGGCAATGGAAATGGGGAAATGTATTAGCAGGCGTGTACACATTTAACACCAGAAAATTCCCCCCACATCCTTGCCACAGACCCACAATTTTCTTTTTAGACAGTGTATGTCTAGCAAGCATGGCATCAAGACTGTTTACAAGAAATCTTATGAAGATTGCATGCTTTTCATGGATCCAACGAGGAAACTCGAAAAAATCAGAGTTTTCACCGAAACTAGACCTTGATTATAAGCAGGTACCATACTTGTTTTCTTTTATATGCTGTTATGGATTATGATGATTGCAGATGATGCTTATGGTATCTTTTACTTAGATGCAGGCACCGAGGAGGCATTGTTGCGACGTGTTCCCGACTAAATCCGACAAGCTTTTGGACATCACGATACGGGAATGCGGAGAAGATGAACTGATTTACATGCATGAATAGATGTTTGGTTTCAAACTGTGTTAATGGATAGTTAGGGCAGATTCTTAGATTTAATAGCATACGGATTCTGGAACGAGTTTTGTCAATTTCTTTATGGAAGGAATTCTGGAGACCATGTTTTCCTTGACATGAATCGGCAGGGCAGTATGTCCTTAGTTTGCCAATATCATCTTTCAACCTCTTTGTTATTTCTGTCACTTGGTTTTATCCATGGATGGACTAGGTCGGGTTTTTGTCAATTTGGTCTCACTCCACTTGAAATCCGACTCAACCCTAGATTATGGGTGACTTCATTCAACCCGAACCCGACCTATAATAAATATATTTATAAAAATATTATTTTATTCAATATAAATAAGGATCTAATTGAAAAATAATATATAGAGGGTTATTATTACAATTATCCTTAAATATATAAGATAAATTTAAATTATTTTTTGAGTTGAGTCAGATCAAGTATCTTTCACCCTAAACATTTTTTAAAAACTTCAACTTAATCCGACTCAAACCTAAATTTATTTTAAAAAACTCAATTCAATCAAAACAAAAATCGTCATATTCAGATCCCATGTCCATCCTAATTTTAACTGATGCTATTATTAAAGGTTCTACTTATTATCTTGCCACCATGCATTTGTCACGCCCTCGCTTTAGAGGGAATGTTGTTTTTCAAACTCTGAGTCCCTTTTACGTGATTTCTTTCCAAAATTTAAATATAATTTATTATAAATCTATTAAGTGATTTTAATGATAAAAAATATTATTTTTTAATTATTAAATTTAAAGAGTTACATTTGTAGATTGTATATATTATTAATTGATTAATAGAAATATAAATAAATACTATTTTTTAATCTTTTTAAACTATTTAAAAATAAAACTCGCGATGAACAGTATATTCCTATGATAAGGGAATATTTATGATTTTGAGTAATTTTTTTCACTAATCCATTTATAATCGATTTCAGTCGATGGTGTCAGAAGGAGAGAACGACCAAAGAGGAAGTGGATAGACTGCTTGAAAGCTGATTTGAAGGATTTAACCATTTATAGAGGACATGACCTCTGATAGAAAAGTATAGAGACTTAAGACCATAGTAGCCGAATAGTGTGGGTCACAACCATAGGGTGTAACATCTATGTCTTCTTTGTAATGCCTTTGTAGTAATTTTCATTACTTCTACTTTTTATACGTTTTTGTCATTGGATTTTTATAAAGCCTTAGAACTAGGGTAGAAGAGTAGTGTTGTCTTAGTTTAGGTTTTAACCCATTTAACTTTATTCCTTCTCGTAGCTTGCTATCGTTGACTTTTGGATACCATTCTCTTCATGTTTCCTCTTTTTGAATTTAGTCAGATCTTACGTTTCTGTCTATATACAGAGATTTCTACACAGGGATTTATTTGCAAGTATTATTTCCCATTACAGACGCGCATATGAAGACGGCATAAGAAAACTATTTAACTATATATTTATATAATTATTTATACATACATTGTATTGTATATTTATTTTTAAATTTTCTGACTGCCGGAGGTCTTCCACAGAAGTTACTCTCAACTTGACGTTGAGTGCAGCCTACTACACTACCTCCCCTTACCCTATCATATATGAAAATAAAATTTTGTTATTGTTGTTATTGTCTCCATCTTTGTAAATACTTTTCGATATGCATCTAATATATATCTCAAATTGGAATCTAAGAGTAAATTAAGCAGAGGAAATACAATATTCTAAATCATTACGGGAAAAAATCTCGCGAAAAGGTCAAAGAAAATCTTTATCCACATTCGCTGACGATGGCGCGTGTAAATAAAATCTGGTTTTAACGGTTGGATTATGAATGAAGGTCGCTATCCTTCGTGACAATATTCTAGGTCTTACTTATCCCCATCTAGTGGCGGTGCCAAGACTTAGGGTTTCCAGGTTTTTACCTGTCTCTCCGCCATCACCGTAATCCTACGCCTTATTCTTTTTCGTCTCTCCGCAAATCCGCGACGATGCCGGGCGTTGACTCGCTGCTGATGGAGTGGCTTGCGAAGAAGGTACGGGATACCTTCATCAAGTTCTTCGAAGGCAAGAATCACGTCAATTGGAAGTCTAGCCCTGTCGTTCCTCACAATGATCCCACTCTCTTGTTCGTTAATGCCGGTACGATTTATTTTCTTCGGTTTTATGTTTACTTGCCTTTACAACTTTAAACTGACGAATCGGCCATCTTCTTCTTATTATTGTTTGTTTTGTAAGTTTCCTCTTTGTTTTGGCTATATATTTGTTATCCGAATACTTATTTTGTTGATCTGCGTACAAAGAAGTATCATTTCGCAACTTCAAACTCCCAGCGCTGTGATACCGGACTTCTTTTTGATGGTAGTGTCGAAATTCACTAAACTTAGGTTAAAAATATATTGAGTCAATTTTGTTTAATGGTGACTGGATAGGTATGAACCAGTACAAGCAGATTTTCTTGGGGACTGTGGATCCAAACACTGCTATGAGTAAGCTCACCAGGGCGTGCAACACTCAAAAATGTATTCGAGCTGGCGGGAAGCATAATGATCTTGATGACGTAGGAAAAGACACCTATCACCATACCTTCTTTGAAATGTTAGGGAATTGGTCTTTTGGGGACTATTTCAAGAAAGAGGCAATTGAGTGGGCTTGGGAACTCCTCACTAAGGTATATATTTTATGTATTTTTTTGTTATTGTCATTGCAAAACATAAATAGTTTATGAATGTGTGTTTGTCATATCTTGGATAATATTCTGTTTGTATATCTCATTTGTTAATAATTTGATCAGTTTGGGTTTGGAATGCTGGGTGTTTGTTTGTATTGTTGATATGCTGACTCGTTTCTGTGTTTTCTCCCCAATTTTCATACTTGTTTGTGGAACTGTAGGTTTATGGCCTGCCTACAGATCGTATTTATGCCACTTACTTTGGCGGTGATGAAAAAGCTGGTCTTCCTCCTGATAATGAAGCTAGAGATTTATGGCTTAATTTTCTGCCCCCTGGACTTGTACTGCCATTTGGTTGCAAAGTAAGTTTTCCCTCGAGTCTTTTTTCCCTTTGTGTTTGTGTATGTGTGTGTGTGTGACGTGTGACCATGATAAGTTTTAAATTTTCTGCCACATTGAGGGTATATTGAGAATCCTTCTTTACATGATCCAATTTTATTCTTCTTTGCCAATAAACCAAACTATTCTTGGTGCGCTTTGTATACTTCAAAACTTATCCTGAATTTTAATTTGGATTTCATATACCCTTATATACATATGTGTGTGTTTGTGTAGTGTTGAAGTTTATGATTGATATTTAGAGTAATCTGTTATGTCTTATTTGAAGAAGGAAATAACCTATTTGATTGAAACAAGAGTTTGGTTTAATTTTTTTGTTTCCATTGCATGGATAATGTATGAATATCTTTATGGTTAACTATATCTCCATGTAATTGAGAATTATTTGGTATATGTCTTTTATTCCATCCACACATTTTTTTTTGATAGGAAAAGTAGGTCTCATAAAAACCTCCTTCTTAGTAGTCCTTACCATGAGGTCAGAACCTACTAGGGGAAGGAGGAATAGAGAACCTTAATATATTGATAATGTAAAAATTACATAAAACTAAAACCACTCCTTTAAGATACATAAAACTTAAGCACACTCTTATAACGCCTTGATGAAAAACCTCCGAACCCAGTACTAAAAAAGTGACCCACTACCCAATCCCCTCCTTTGCAAGCAAATCTGCCTCGCAATTACAGCTTCTCGGAATCCACCTCACAATGACCTCATACTCAGAAACCGCATCCGCAATATCCTTGACAAAATTTAAAAGAAAAGGTGGAACTGACTCCTGATATTTCAACCACTCCACAGCTAACTTGCAATCAGATTCAATAATAAGCCTTCCCTTCAATACCCATTCTGATGACACAAAGATGTCTATTCCTCTTTTGATAGCTTTTAACTCTGCTAAAATGATAGGAGTAGGCCCTATTTTTTCTGAAAACGACATCAATTTAATCCGATTCCAATCTCTAAGAATGCCCCCAATTCCTGCTAACAACCCAACCCTACTAACTGCTCCATCCACGTTAAACATATTACTTTTATTTTTCTAAAAGTTTGGGATAACATGAATAATAGGTTCTATCATCTTTCTAATTGATTTTGTCCCTCATTTTAGGACAATTTCTGGGAGATGGGTGATACAGGTCCTTATGGGCCTTGCACTGAAATTCATTATGACCGAGTGGGCAATCGTGATGCTGCTTCATTGGTGAATAATGATGATCCCACTTGTATTGAGATATGGAACCTTGTTTTCATTCAGGTACACTTTGTTGTAGGATCTAGTGGTTTTTCTCTCCTTTTTTCATTAGTATATCTTATATGTATCCGGTCAATCACTGTTAAAATTTAGAAGTTATCCAGGAAGTTAGCCTTCCGACATGTGTATGCACCTCTGTAGTATGTATCTGGGGCAATGGAGAGAGTACTATATCTGCCTAACTTCTTTTATACTGGCATGTCATGCAAGCCTTCAACAGCAATAAGGTTTTCCACTGATACATGCATTACTGTTATACAGTTTAATAGGGAAAGTGATGGCTCTCTAAAACTTCTTCCAGCAAAGCATGTTGACACTGGATTGGGGTTTGAGAGATTGACATCGGTACTACAGAACAAGATGAGCAATTATGATACAGATGTGTTCTTGCCTATTTTTGATGTTATCCAACAGGTTAGATAATGAAGCCCCTATATATATATTTTTTTCTTTCATTTTTAATCAATATAATGATTAAATATGTATGCGAGTTGCTGAATGTGTATTCACTGATGTCGCCTTTAATGGTTGATACTACTACTAGTTCATGTAATGGTCTGACCTTCATACAATTGTTCTCTTTCTCTACATTCTATATTTTTTTGAAACCATAATTCTTATAAATGTTGCATAGGAGGGAAAAATGCAATGTCTAATGGCTCTATACAATGACTTGTATGACTCTATTTTAATTAATGCCAGAGAATAAATTCCTTAGTTACTATTATGATAATATATTTTAACACTTGACGGTTTCTTAACTATTAGCAAATTATTCTGTTAGATAAAAGATATTCAAATTCTGAAGTGTTTCAGATTTTTTTCTCCAGTTTACCGACTTGGCCCCAATTGACTGGCTTGTGACTGAAGCTAGAATGAGGATTGAATGCATAATCATGTTCTCTCCTTTAACAGGTCACAGGTGCACGCTTGTATTCTGGAAAAGTTGGGCCCGATGATGTGGACAAAGTTGACATGGCTTATAGGGTTGTTGCTGATCATATTAGAACTTTATCCTTTGCAATTGCTGATGGTGCTTCTCCAGGTAGATATTGACATGAGATTACTTGTTGAATGTTTAAATTTTCAGTTTCAGTGGTTTTCTTTCTTATGTTTGATTGTCCATTTAACCAAAAAACATTTTGTCCTCTTATGATTGTTGGGGAAGCTTTTTGGATGAATTCCTTTGATAATATGTTGGTGAATGCATATGCGTCTGCAAATAAGAGTGATAAGTAATTGGTTGGTTTCGTTTTCTTTTGCGTCTGCTATTAGTCTATATGACAGCGTGGGCAAGTTTGCGGGTTCTACTTTTCTTTCCATTTTAGGCACTGCTAAATTGCATTATCTTAACCTGTTAAGAGCTACACTGAGGACAGCTGTTGAGCTATTGTATGGTAGAGTATTTTGTTTTATTCATTTTCATGATGCCCTATTTCAGTGTTGGTTGGAATTCAGCTCTTCAAAGTTGTTTTACTTTAAATTTAAATCCTACACACCTTAAGCTGAAGATTTCCTCATTCACATCGTCCATGTGTAGTTTTTGTTTACACTTGAATGGTTTGTAATTATTTCATGTATACAACCACTGATGTTGTAACACCCCCAACCCGTATCCGACCCGGATACGAGTCCGAAGTGTCACATTGACTTTTCAAACATTTATTCGTATAAAATAGTGAGAAATTTAAAAACTTTGATCACATTTAACTTATTCAAAACGTTTACAAAATATATCAGAGTTCATACAATTTATATCTTTAGACTACATGCCAACTACACTCTATAAACAGTACATATATTTTCTGATCTGACATTTGGTAAGGAGAACTGACCTATCTTGCTCCACATTACTCTTTACTCTTCTCGAAACCTACGTGTGAAACAATCACACGCTAAGTCGAAGACTTAGTGAGGCATAAAGAAAACACATCATATCACAAATCATATACATATATCACATACATTGTTCTCATATCACCAATATCCATACCTGTAAGCATATTACTTTAACATTCATGAATTTGTATTAATGAGTTTATTGGCCCATGATATCATATTGAGAACCTAAGGTATCTGAGTATTGTGAGGTTGTGCACTATGCTGTCACCACAACTCATATAAATCCCACTGAGTGGCATATGAAATTTGTCCCGAAGGACCTGTGAATATGTCCCGAAGGACCTGTGAGTTGTCCCGAAGGACCTATGAAACCCTCGACTCTTGGCATGCCAACTATACCTATAGCTCTCATATCGTATAACATGGGCATTATTATTTATCATTTCACATGTTCATATAAACTCATAGCTTCTGTACATATGTTTGTAATCATGTAACATATATCACAAAGTGCACATAATCGCACATATCATATCATATAGCTTAGATCATTTCTCAGATATTCATATAAACATACATATCATATCTTGTTCACATATGATCATATATGCTTCATATAACACATAAAACACTTTCTCATAGCTTATATAAATTTTCAGAGTTCTTTCATATTACCTGATGACATATATCATATAGATATATAATAACGGATATCATATTATCTACCTTATGCTCTATTTCTTTGTATTCCCATAGATTATAAATTATGATGTATTTCTAAACATATATCATTTAATAATATTTTTATTTAGGTAATAATTTAATCTATTTACTTAATTCAATTTCATAATTTCATTATAATCTTTTCATATATCTCCATAGATATTTAGCATATAATTTATCTTGCATATTCGTATCGTCCCTTTATATTCAAGATTCCTAATTGATATATTATTCCCATTTCATTCTATAATTCAATCTTATTTAGTTCCCTTAACTCTTTTTAAATAAAAAAAACTCTATTATACTAATTCCCATAATGGATCATACCACTATTTAATTGTCCAACTCATGTTTACCTAGTTCATATCACTTCTCATGAACTCACTCTCATCATCTTTTCTTATTCCTACATATTTTATCTCATAACCATGTATTTACATAGCCTTATATTTCATTATCATATTACTTATATTTGTTCTCCTATGACTCTTTATAAACATCTATTTTCATTTCCCTACATCTCTTGACTTATCTTCTATATTCATATAATTTCATAACTTATTTTATATTATCTCATTAACACTTAACCCTATTTTTACATAAACCACATAGCACATGCAAAACAAAACCTATCAATTCATATAATCCAACATACATACACTTCATATCGTTAACATACTTATAATCAAGGCTTAATGAGCTATTACTATAGGAATAGACTTATCACAAGTCCAATTTCCATATAATCTTATACGATAAGATGCACTCACCTGGGCCTCGTTGTTTGAATCAATCCTAATCCTTAATTTGTTCCGGAACAAGCTTTCATTCTATATCTACATAATAATACATTAATACTTATCAGTATACTGATTGATATATTCGAAACTATCACTCCTTAGTCTCAAAGAAAAGCCAATTTCATCTTTTAATGAAGGTATGCATCGATGCACTACACCATGCATCGATGCATAAATCCTATTCGATGTTTGTATTTAATGGTGATGCATCGATGCACTCCTTATGCATCGATGCATAAATCCTATTCGATGTTTTCTATTTAAATTCATGCATCGATGCACTGCATGTGCATCGATGCACCTTAAACAATTTCTGGTATTTATCATCGATGCATCGGTGCACAATGAATGTGCATCGATGCACATTGCCCAGAACTGACATTTTAGCACGTAAATCATCAACTCTTCCATTAATTCTTCTATTTTAAGCCCCTCTTATGACATTAAACTTAACTACTATAACTTGAACCAACTTATATCCATGTAAATCATCTTTAACCTCAAAATCCTATCTTCCTTATGAGATTCAAGAATCATACCAAATTTTCTATATGATCTACATCCAATTCTATCACTCCAAATCTCTTAATTTAACCATTGACAAGTCAAATTTAACTTCCAATCTAAGAAATGAACTTTATTCCAAGATTTCATTTGTAAACTCTAAATCTTTAATCTCTCCTAACTCCACCATCATTTGCTTTTAAGATGATTTAAGCTTTCCTTAAGCTTAGTTATCATCTAATAATTAAAACCCAACCTTAAAATCAACAATTCAATTATAAACAAAGAAACTTACCTTTGGCTCTTGGCTTCCACGTGAAGAAGAAGAAGAAGAAAGGAGAAGAGAACTCTGGAGAATTCTCTCCCTTTCCACGTGCCTTTATCCTACCAATCCCATTTTTTTATTCATTTCTTGGTCAATTGACCCTTTTGCCCTTTATTTCCTTTACTAATTACTAAATAACCTTCATCATATATATCCAATAATCATTGAACTATTTCATTCTTATACTAGTCACCAAATTCTGAAACTTTATAATTTGGTCACTAACCCGGTATTGCGGATGTTACAAATCTCCTATCCTTTTAAGAAAATTCGTCCTCGAATTTTCACTGGACATTTTGATAGAACATATCTTCTAAGGTTCTCATGTTGCTTTATTTAATTAATCTTTCTTGTCATCATCAGAAACTTACTTTTCAATCCTTTAGCTTTTCAATTACCTTATTCCTTTATATATATATATATATTCATATCAGGTCACTTATCATTTAAACAACAACCAGTAACTTTAATCCATTTATGTCTCTCTCTCTCCTTCCTTTATGCATTTTTCCTTTAACCTTTCTAAAATTCCATATAATGTCACTCATCACGTTGACAGTACATCCATCTCATCACTCTATATCATAAATCCATCTATTTCTTCATAACTCTTTAATTACCTTATAACCATACCAAACTTGTATTTCGTCATCATTTGACCAAAACACAACTTTAAATCTTCTTCAATGTGATTAAACATATACTTTAAGGAGTCAAACAATATTTTCACATCACCTTGCACACTTGTCTTATTTCTATATCAAAATTGTCCTCTGTACTTCCATATTTATCGTATTTGATCCTTTAAATCAATCCCTTTCATTTCTTTATTCCTTCTTCCTTATACATAAATCATATATTTCCTTTCATATTCACATACTCTTGTCTTATCACTTATACTCATCTTTATGTATCAATCTTCATTGCATCCTCATTACTCTAATAACCCATTTCTTATACATAACTTCATTCTTTATCATTTCTTATACTTGTATTTTTCTTCCTGAAGGTTCCATGCAAATACTTATCTCAGTTTCTACATCATAGCTATCTGCTCAGAATATACAACTATATTCAAATTCACATCATAATCAATTAATTCCACTTTATTTTTCCTCCAATCTTATAACTCTAACACCTTTACTCTGGCAGCTAGATAATAACTTTCGTTCAATCTAGGGCACAAGCCCTATTATACCAATCCTATACATCCTTTCCAATCTAAATTATCTCAACATTCGCTTACTCAACTTATCAATTTCACATCTATTCTCATACACCCTGAAATTTCTTTTGCTCAAACTCAACATTCTGACTTCCTGTGTCCTATAATCTGATCATCGATATACACATTCTCAAACTCTTCTTATCCATCCTCAGCTTTACTTAAATATACAAATTCTTACTTCCTTTTCCTTTACTATACCACATTACTATGATCCAAATATGCAACTATATCCAGATCCATTGCAGATCTGGTTATCATATCCTGACAATATCTTATAATCTTATAATTCCAATACATTTTTATCACATACTCTAGTTAGCCAATGCTAACTCTTTCCATCTTAACTGCAAACCCTTATCATAAACATACTCTTGTTTATGCGCAATACTATCACTTCGTTTCAAACTCATAAGCTCTGACTTTATACATCTTATACACTTGTCACTGATGCACTTATCCTTGAGTTCTTCTATACGCACTCATCACGTCATTAGATCTTTTTAACATTCTTATGGTGACACCTGTTCACCATATTCTATCTTATCCATATAATAACAAAACTACTCTATATCGTTTTTCCGATTCCAAACGATGAAAACTTTCTATCATTATTCAGATATGATTTCAGCTTTCTGAAATCAACTTTTGATCTTACTAGGCATTTCCTGAGGTGTCCGCTCTTCCTCCTGCCTGGCCAGGGCAGGTGAATAGCTATCACAATCAGGAATATCACCTTTCACTTACTTCGAAATTATCACGATCGGATTTCTACTGTATTAAACTATTCTTATTCTATTAGCAAGACAACATACTCCTTACACAATCAGATCAGAAATTTTTCAATCTAGGTTGGCATGTACACCTTTTATGACACTTTGGACTTCGGTTTATGCCGAGAATCGGCTAAACCTTAGCTCTGATTCCATTAAATGTAACACCCCAACCCGTATCCGACCCGGATACGAGTCCGAAGTGTCACATTGACTTTTCAAACATTTATTCGTATAAAATAGTGAGAAATTTAAAAACTTTGATCACATTTAACTTATTCAAAATGTTTACAAAATATATCAGAGTTCATACAATTTATATCTTTAGACTACATGCCAACTACACTCTATAAACAGTACATATATTTTCTGATCTGACATTTGGTAAGGAGAACTGACCTGTCTTGCTCCACATTACTCTTTACTCTTCTCGAAACCTACGTGTGAAACAATCACACGCTAAGTCGAAGACTTAGTGAGGCATAAAGAAAACACATCATATCACAAATCATATACATATATCACATACATTGTTCTCATATCACCAATATCCATACCTGTAAGCATATTACTTTAACATTCATGAATTTGTATTAATGAGTTTATTGGCCCATGATATCATATTGAGAACCTAAGGTATCTGAGTATTGTGAGGTTGTGCACTATGCTGTCACCATAGCTCGTATAAATCCCACTGAGTGGCATATGAAATTTGTCCCGAAGGACCTGTGAATATGTCCCGAAGGACCTGTGAATATGTCCCGAAGGACCTGTGAGTTGTCCCGAAGGACCTATAAAACCCTCGACTCTTGGCATGCCAACTATACCTATAGCTCTCATATCGTATAACATGGGCATTATTATTTATCATTTCACATGTTCATATAAGCTCATAGCTTCTATACATATGTTTGTAATCATGTAACATATATCACAAAGTGCACATAATCGCACATATCATATCATATAGCTTAGATCATTTCTCAGATATTCATATAAACATACATATCATATCTTGTTCACATATGATCATATATGCTTCATATAACACATAGAACACTTTCTCATAGCTTATATAAATTTTCAGAGTTCTTTCATATTACCTGATGACATATATCATATAGATATATAATAACGGATATCATATTATCTACCTTATGCTCTATTTCTTTGTATTCCCATAGATTATAAATTATGATGTATTTCTAAACATATATCATTTAATAATATTTTTATTTAGGTAATAATTTAATCTATTTACTTAATTCAATTTCATAATTTCATTATAATCTTTTCATATATCTCCATAGATATTTAGCATATAACTTATCTTGCATATTCGTATCGTCCCTTTATATTCAAGATTCCTAATTGATATACTATTCCCATTTCATTCTATAATTGAATCTTATTTAGTTCCCTTAACTCTTTTTAAATAAAAAAAAAACTCTATTATACTAATTCCCATAATGGATCATACCACTATTTAATTGTCCAACTCATGTTTACCTAGTTCATATCACTTCTCATGAACTCACTCTCATCATCTTTTCTTATTCCTACATATTTTATCTCATAACCATGTATTTACATAGCCTTATATTTCATTATCATATTACTTATATTTGTTCTCCTATGACTCTTTATAAACATCTATTTTCATTTCCCTACATCTCTTGACTTATCTTCTATATTCATATAATTTCATAACTTATTTTATATTATCTCATTAACACTTAACCCTATTTTTACATAAACCACATAGCACATGCAAAACAAAACCTATCAATTCATATAATCCAACATACATACACTTCATATCGTTAACATACTTATAATCAAGGCTTAATGAGCTATTACTATAGGAATAGACTTATCACAAGTCCAATTTCCATATAATCTTATACGATAAGATGCACTCACCTGGGCCTCGTTGTTTGAATCAATCCTAATCCTTAATTTGTTCCGGAACAAGCTTTCATTCTATATCTACATAATAATACATTAATACTTATCAGTATACTGATTGATATATTCGAAACTATCACTCCTTAGTCTAAAAGAAAAGCCAATTTCATCTTTTAATAAAGGTATGCATCGATGCACTACACCATGCATCGATGCATAAATCCTATTCGATGTTTGTATTTAATGGGGATGCATCGATGCACTCCTTATGCATCGATGCATAAATCCTATTCGATGTTTTCTATTTAAATTCATGCATCGATGCACTGCATGTGCATCGATGCACCTTAAACAATTTCTGGTATTTATCATCAATGCATCGGTGCACAATGAATGTGCAGCGATGCACATTGTCCAGAACTAACATTTTAGCACGTAAATCATCAACTCTTCCCTTAATTCTTCTATTTTAAGCCCCTCTTATGACATTAAACTTAACTACTATAACTTGAACCAACTTATATCCATGTAAATCATCTTTAACCTCAAAATCCTATCTTCCTTATGAGATTCAAGAATCATACCAAATTTTCTATATGATCTACATCCAATTCTATCACTCCAAATCTCTTAATTTAACCATTGACAATTCAAATTTAACTTCCAATCTAAGAAATGAACTTTATTCCAAGATTTCATTTGTAAACTCTAAATCTTTAATCTCTCCTAACTCCACCATCCTTTGCTTTTAAGATGATTTAAGCTTTCCTTAAGCTTAGTTATCATCTAATAATTAAAACCCAACCTTAAAATCAACAATTCAATTATAAACAAAGAAACTTACCTTTGGCTCTTGGCTTCCACGTGAAGAAGAAGAAGAAGAAATGAGAAGAGAACTATGGAGAATTCTCTCCCTTTCCACGTGCCTTTATCCTACCAATCCCATTTTTTTATTCATTTCTTGGTCAATTGACCCTTTTGCCCTTTATTTCCTTTACTAATTACTAAATAACCTTCATCATATATATCCAATAATCATTGAACTATTTCATTCTTATACTTTAGTCACCAAATTCTGAAACTTTACAATTTGGTCACTAACCCGGTATTGCGGATGTTACAGATGTTTCTCTTTTGAGACACTTTATATTATTATTCTAAATCTGATCCATATGTTTGCATTTGATGATTAGGCAATGAAGGACATGAATATGTCTTAAGACGTATTCTTCGTCATGTTGTTCGCTACTGCAGTGAGGTCTTAAAAGCTCCTGAGGGATTTTTCAGCAGGTAGGAACAACCTATTTTTCCTTTTTTGTTTTATTAATAATTGTAATCTGTAATGTCCTTAATATTTTTGAATGGTTAAAGCAAATTTTCAGAGTAAAACCTTATGAAATATGGTGTGTGCATTTTTGTGCAGTCTGTTTTTGGTATGTAAAAGGGGGAAAATAATTTAGATGCTTAGTTGTTGAGTGAAATTTTCTTATAGTATTATAGGATTTTTTTATAATTCTTAGGGCAAAATTTTTTTTAAAGTGAGGTTTATCTTACTGGTGCAACTCAGAACTATGAGATTAAATTTTATCCAACATTCATGTATTGAAGTTTTGTGGGATTAGCTTAAAACCGATGTCATTAACTTGGTAATTTGTTTTTATTTGTGTTTTAATTATTTATTTGAATCCAGGCTTGTAAGGATTGTGGTGGAGATCATGGGTGATGTTTTCCCAGAGTTAAAGCAGCATGAGGCACACATTGGAGATATAATTGCTGCAGAAGAGGCGAGCTTTGGGAAGACTTTGGTGAAGGTGAGCACGTAACATAACATTAATTTCATGCAGCTTAATAGATCAATTAGTTTTCCTATTTTGACATATTTCTACTATTTCAAATTGCCTTCAAACCATGTAAAACTTGTTTTGGAATTTGTTATGATAATAAGTTAGCATTTTGAGTTTCTAACTTTTTGATGCGCTCTTCATAGTTCTTTCTACTAGCCATGTTACTTAATTGACTTTAGATGTGATCTTCCTGTATTAATTAGTGTATTGCCAGCATGTTCAATGATAATTGTGAATAATTGATGTTATGTTCAGGGAATCGAGAAATTTAAGAAGGCAACTCAGGATGTTCAGGGGAGGGTTTTAAGTGGGCAGGTAATTGTATTTTGATTCATCATTTTCTATCATTGCGAGCAATACATGCTATCAAATACACTATATTTTTCTGTATTATGCTACTTTTACTTATGTTTTTCATTTAAGCGTTTAAGAGAAGCTTTAAGCAATCTACCTAAGCTGGTTGTTTAAGTTTTTTTTTACTTCTACAATTTCCATGAAGATTTTGTGCAAGTTTCAATTGTACTGAATGCTCTAACGAATTTGAAGTGATTAATTTTTTTTATCCACTTGCTTGCAGAAGCAGATGATAAATAGATATGTCTGTGTGTAATCCATCTGAATTTTGAACTATTATTTATTTATCTATTCTAGCGGAGTGAACCTGAAAGGAATAATTTGGCTGTATTTGTGAGATTCTGCGCCTATCAGTGGCTATCTTAGTATCTTACCACATTGTTTTGTTACTTTTTCAGGATGCATTTATCTTGTGGGACACATATGGTTTTCCATTAGATTTAACTCAGGTAGACAGGTGAATTTTGTTCTCTTTTTCTCTATATAATCTATTTGCTTTCCATCCTAATTTTCCATTCCTGCAGTTGATGGCAGAGGAAAGAGGTTTGATAGTAGATGTTGAGGGTTTCAATAATGCCATGGATGAGGCCAGGGAAAAGTCAAGGAGTGCAAGAAATAAGGTAATAGGAGTTCGATTTGTGCATCCAATAAACTCTTTGTTAATAATGTGGTAGGTATATATTTTTTCTAATAAGTAAAAGATGCTAGGCATTCTTAGATGCAGTATTCTAAAAAGGAAAAAAATTGATGCATCAAAAGCCAAATGTATCTTAAGGTAGAAACTAGAAAGCAGTGTTCAAGTAATTGAGTTTTTTCTCCATTTTTCATGCTAATAGAAGCTTTTTTTTTCCCAGCAAGCTGATGGTGCTATTGTCATGGATGCTGATGCTACCTCTGCACTGCACAAGAAGGGGGTGTCTACAACAGATGATTCCTTCAAATTCATTTGGTTCAAGGTCTGCATGTATCTTTAGATGGCACTTCAGTTATTTTAGTCTGGGTTATTATTTTGGCTAGAGAAAATATTGAAGGTTCAATGAGTCGTTGGCTACTGAGAGAGATTTATGTTTCAGCTGCATCATGATGGGGACCAGATTTTCGCTCTATTTTTAACATCTATAAGATAATAGTGAAAATTCAACTTAAGTTTGGAAAGGGTGTTGATAAATTTATATATTTTTTAAAATCATTCCTTTCTCCTGTTTGAGAACTGTTAATATTAGGGATAAATAATTATCTATTGCCTATGGTATCAGAAAAACTCTTTTTCTCTAGAATCTAGATTTTTAAAGTAACAAGATCTTACTGTATGATCCATTGAGTGGAGGTAGGTTTACTTGGTGTAATAATCAAGATTCCCCGACCTATGTTAGGCTGGACATATTTTTGGTTGATAGCCAATTCTTGGCAGCTTTTCCAGATTTAACACAATCGTTGCTGCCAAGATCATTGTCAGATCATAATGCAGTAATAATTGAGAATGGAGGTGTAAATTGGGGGGAAAATCCATTTAAACTGTTTAACTACCTGATGGATAAAGCTGGATTTGAGGATGTGATCAGCTCTTCAATCCAAGAATGTAAAGAGATACAGAGGAATGCTGGAATTTTCAAAATTCTGAAAAAAACCAAAACTGCCATTAAAAATTGGGCAGGGAAGAGAGATAAGTTTCCAGGAGCTTTAATTTCAGAATTAGAATTGAAGATTCAAAAATTAGAAGTGGAGGTTCAACAGTAGCAAGATGGTACTTATGATGAGAAAGCAGCTGAGTTAAAGGAGTTAAGGTCAGAATTATGGAAGTTGCATAAGATAGAGGAGCAGATTTGGTTCCAGAATTCTAGATCCAAATGGGTAGAAGATGGGGACAGAAATACCAGATTCTTCCATACATGTGCTTCAGTTAGGAGGAAAAAAATACGTTGAATGCTCTTATAAGCAGGGGTAATGTTATTCAAGACCCAAATGTTATAAAGGCCACTGTTAAAGAACACTTCTTTAAGGCTTTTAATGACAAATCGACCTTAGAAGTGAAAGAAATCGAGTTGGATTTTTCCAGTATTTCAATTAAGCAGAGTTTAATTTTGGAGAAAGAATTTACTGAGGAGGAAATATGGGAGACTTTAAAGTCTTGAAATAGCAACAAAGCCCCGGGGCCAGATGGTTTTAATTTGGGTTTTTTCAAGAGATATTGGCATGTATTTAAAGGAGAAATTATGAAGTTCTTCTTCAACTTCTATTCGGGGAAAGATTGGGATCATGGCATCAACCATACCTTTATTACTCTTATTCCTAAGGTCTCTAACAGTGGTGACCTTGATGATTATAGGCCTATTAGCTTAGTTGGTGGATTATATAAGATCCTCTCTAAGTGCCTATCGAGGAGGTTGAGGAGTTGTATTTCAGACTTAATTAGTCCTACTCAATTTGCCTTCACCCAAGGGAGACAAATATTGGACTGTTCTTTAATTGCGAATGAAGGAGTGGATTATTGGAGGAAAAATGGTCTTAAAGGTTGTGTTTTCAAGGCAGATTTCAAGAAAGCGTATGATTCGGTTGATTGGGACATTTTGTTTCTAGTAATGGAGAAAATGGGATTTGGTTCCAGGTGGAGAGGTTGGATCAGAAAGTGTGTAACCACACCTTCAGTTTCTGTTTTAGTGAATGGAGTTCCTACTGAGGAATTTCCAATGTCTAAAGGACTTAGACAGGGGTGCTCTCTATCACCTCTGTTGTTTAATTTTATTGGATAACTCCTTAATCTGCTAATTTTAAAGGCTGTGGAACATGGTCTGTTTTTTGGACTGTTTATAGAAAGGGATGCGGCTGCTTTCAAATTATCTCATCTATAGTTCGCAGATGATCTCATTATATTTTGTGGTGCGTCTAAGACGTAGATTTTAAATGTTAAGAGGGTGTTTAGAGTGTTTCAAGTGATTTCTGGTTTACAGCTCAACATGAAGAAAAGTAAATTGTTTGGTGTGAATTTGAACGAGGAATAAGTTCAGCAGTGGGCTAATTCTATCGGATGTTCTGTGGGTAGCTTTCCCTCTGAATATTTAGGACTGTCTTTGGGAGCTACTAGAAACTCTACAGTATTTTGGAATTAGGTGGTGAATAATTTTTCGAATAAATTAGCTGGGTGGAAGGCTTCTTTACTGTCATTAGCAGGAAGGTTGGTTTTAAAAAAGTCGGTTCTATGTTCACTCCCTACGTATTATTTATCTTTATTTAAGATACCAGTTTCGGTTCTTAAATCTCTCAACTCCATTATGGCGAAATTCTTATGGGGAGGGGGAGTATGTAAAAATAAGATACATTGGGTTAACTGGCCGAATGTGTGCAAGTCAAAATTTGAGGGGGGTTAGGTGTTAGAAATCTTATTTTCATGAATAGAGCTCTTCTAGCAAAATGGTCTTGGAGGTATGCTAATGAAAGGGGGTCTGTTTGGAGGGAATTCATTTGTTCTAAATACAGTATGGATCCATCTTGGTTAATGTTTGACAGTAAAGTCCCACATAGAGTATCTTGGATTTGGAGATCGGTGGTTATGAATCACTTTAAAGAAGACAGTATTAGCTCTAAGTTTAGAAGTTTGTATTCTTTCCGAGTTGGGGATGGCAGATTGATTAGGTTCTGGCAGGATAGTTGGGCTTTGGACTATCCTCTTCTAATTATTTTCCCTCGATTGTTTTCCATTTCCACAAATAGAATGGGCAAACTGGTTGAATTTGGGAATTACAGCTCATCGGGATAGAGTTGGGATGTGCAGTTTAGAAGAAATTTAAATGACTGGGAAGTAGAACAGTGGGTTAATTTGATGAATGTTATTTCCTCTGTTTCTCTATCTACGGAGTTATGTGATGGGGTGATTTGGAAAGGTACTGGAGATAGGGTGTACACTGTTAAATCTGGTACTAAGATTTGTTCAGCCATTATTTCGGATTCGGAAGAGGTATATTTTTGGAAGAAGATTATTTGGAGGGGCCAAATTCCACCTAGAGTGGAGTCCTTTATGTGGCAGGTGGTGTTAGGGAAGCTGGTTGTTAGGACATAACTTGTTAAAAGGGGAATTCAAGGAATTGTAGACATTATGTGCCCTCTTTGTAAGAGGGAGGTGGAGTCTCCCTCGCACTTGTTTTTCACGTGCTCGGTGGTGTGGACGATTTGGAACAAATTTCTGAATTTCTGGAAGATTAAGTCTGTTTTTCATGTTAATGCTAAAAAGTTCCTACTTGCTTGGGCTGATTTGAAGTCTACCTCTACAATTTGGTCTTTTATTCATGGGGCAGTTCTTTGGACTACTTGGAAAGTTAGGAATCCTATTGTGTTTGAAGGGGGAAAGTTGGATTTGGCTGAGTATTTTTTCCTAGCAAGGTTTAGACTAGCTTCTTGGTTCCTTGCGAAGTACAAGAGGTGTCTATTCCTAAGGATTCTCTTATTTCAGACCCTTCATTAGGGGATTTGTGCTCTCTCAATTATAATCGACTTGTAACTAAATTTCCTTGGTCTCCTCCTCCTCAAGGTTTTGTAAAGTTAAATGTTGATACGACTACTACAAGAGATTGGAAGAAGAGTGGGATAGGAGGTGTTCTAAAGGACTCCTCGGGTTTGACTTTAAGTTCTTTCAAGGAATCTGCTGGTCCGGGTCCTCCAACTTTTATGGAATTAAAAGCTATACAGAAGGGTCTAATGTTATATGCGAATTTACGAGAGAGGAAGGGTCGTCTGATTATTGAAAGCGACAACAAAGTGGCTGAGACTGGATTAAGGAAGGGGATTTAGTTCCTGATGTTTATGCTTTTTTGATTAAAGATATTGTTCACAGGCTTAATGTTTTAGAAGGTGTTGTCAGATGGGTTAATAGGAAAACCAATTTAGAGGCTGATGCCTTAGCTAAAGAAGGAATTGACTGATTCTCTGTTTATAGTTTGGATGTTTTATGGTTGTTTCGAGCTTATTTAGTTTTTGGGGTGTATAATGGTTGTATCTTATGTAATTTTATGGTTCAATAAAATCCTAAGACACTCTTTTCCACCTTCCGCTGATTAAGGAGTTCCTATAAGCTCCATTAATCAAGAAGGGGGTTTTTAACGAGGCCTGAAATTCTTATAAAAAAAAAAAGATCTGACTGTATGATTTATCTCCTTTTTTCCATATTATTTAACGGCATGCTTTGGAATTTTCATTGTTGTAGAAATTCTGTCTTTCTATTGATATGTAGTGATATATCACTTTTAAAGTAATTAGATTGCCATAGTCTTCTTGTTGAGGAGTCATGTACCATTTAATAGGACTTTGCTGTTCAAAGTCATTACACTTTAGTGTCTTGGTTGCATGCCTGAAGTTATGAGATGACATTCTTCTATTTCTAGTAGAAACTTTAGAAGGCAGCTCCCCGTCCCTATCCTTTTGAAGATGGATTATTCCATGACTTGAATTTTCCCACTTTTTCCAGGACCATGAAAGTGTGATAAAGGCCATATACACTGGTTCTGAGTTTGTGGAAAGTGCGACCACTGGCGATGATGTTGGTATAGTTTTGGAATCTACAAGTTTCTATGCAGAGCAAGGTGGCCAGGTATTTAACTTCAGTATGTGAAAAGGTTTATCTTAACAATGTTTCCATTTTACATTTTTGGGTCTGTATGAACCAGTGTCATACAATCCATAGTGCCACAAACTTTAAATATGTTGGTTATGTTTGTGACCAAGAAATTTCTGGTTTTGGTACACTTTATTGGTTTGGAAAGGACAAAAACTTTCTGATTGATGTAGGATGGAAAATGTTCAATCCTGCAGGTGAAAGCAAAATGACAGAGAAATACCCAGCTCACTAAGGTAGCTAGCCTGGGGGAGAGTATACTAGGTTTAGGATTGAAATTTGGTGGTTGCTTTGATCAGGGTTTGGTCAAGGTTTTCTAGATGACTTTATTAGGTTTTAAAGGGAATTAACTTTGTGCTGGTTTTTTTATTTTTTTCAAGTTTGAGAAGTTCCTGAAATAGAAAAGAAAGGCAATTATGATTCATGCATCAATTTAAGCTTTCATTACAAGGAATGTATGTCAGTCAAGTGATTGCTTTCCTTTGTTGTTATTTCTGTATTCGTCTGACGCATTTACTTGTGGACATAGATTTTTGATATCGGATCTCTTGATGGTCCCTTCGGTTCCTTCCAAGTATGCAATGTTCAAATTTTTGGAGGTTTTGTACTTCATATTGGTTCTCTCTCTGGAGTTACTGTCAAATTCTCTGTTCGTGATAAAGTAACTTGTAAGGTAAAACCATAAACTTCAAATTGCTTCTTATTTTTGATCCACAGAACGATTAGCTTCATTTTATTTTCAACCTTTTCATTATTGTAATTATATCTGTAGGTTGACTATGACAGACGGGGGTTGATTGCTCCTAACCATACTTGCACACATATGTTGAACTATGCTCTTAGGGTACGGCTTAATATGCTGATATCCATAATTCTTTAGCGGTTTCCTATTTTTTTATTAGTTTTCCATGTTTCACACTCTTTAAATTTTAATGTAGGAAGTGCTTGGTAATCATGTTGACCAGAAGGGGTCTATTGTTCTTCCTGAAAAACTGAGGTTTGATTTTTCCCATGGTAAGTTTAACTCAGGGTGTCTTTGATAAACGGTTGAATATTTAAATCATTTAATATTAAAATTTTCAATGGTTATTCATTTTACGAACCACTTATTGAAGCACTAGGAAACTTGAGTATAGATAGCTACTTCTTGTGTCAGTCAATCAATTCAATTGAAGGAAAAAATTATTTTTCCATTTACATTAATCTCACATCCTTTCCTTTTACATAAGATATTTAGTACTTCAAATTTTCTTTGCTTTTACAATAGATTCAAATAGCCAATCTACTGGGCATTTAATTTTCAGTGTCATACCAACCAATTTTTCTATCATAGATTCAATATATCAATCTAAACTAAAAGTTGAACACTTTTTTTAGTGTTTTTTTTTCAGTTATGCTATTTAGTTTGCAGTAAGCTAAAATTTGATCCAATGGTATCAGATCCAAACAGAGATGGTGCCATCAATGCTGATCATTTGAGAAAAATTGAGTCTATTGTGAATGAGCAAATAAAATCTGAGTTGGATGTATATTCAAAGGAGGCAACGCTTGCTGAAGCCAAGCGTATCAACGGTTTGCGAGCCGTATTTGGAGAAGTGAGCTTAAGCATTTTTTTGTCATTATGGTTTTCTAATTTGGATTGCTCAATCCTTTTAGAAGTTATGCTGGGATTATATTTCCAATGCAGGTTTATCCCGATCCAGTTAGAGTAGTGGCCATTGGTAAGAAGGTGGAGGACCTCCTTGCTGATCCTGAAAACATAGAATGGTCATCCATTTCATCGGAACTGTGTGGAGGTTAATTTCTTTATTTAAACAAACTCACTAGAAGCCTTGCTATGAATTTTGTGTTGAAGCTGACTTCTAAGATTTTACAGGCACGCACATAACAAATACACGGGAAGCAAGGGCATTTGCTCTTTTATCTGAGGAGGGAATTGCTAAAGGGGTTCGAAGGATAACTGCTGTTACTACTGAGAGTGCTTTGAAGGCAATGGAATTAGGTGGCCAGCTTTTGAAGGAAGTAGATGATGCATCCAAGCTGGAAGTATGCTTGCTGGAGAAGGTTTGTATGCCTTAGGCTATAAGACTTTAATTCTTGGAAGTTCTTGTTCTCAATGCCTTGATTGTTTTCGTTTTAAGTTGTTATTTTACTCTAAATTGTTCTGCTTCAAGGCGAGTCCGGTGGTTCCTGTCTTCTTGTGTCTTGCATGTTTTTTTTCCAGTTCAATGCATACCATTTTCATGAAACTTTGTTTCAGGACATGCCATGTTTCTTGGTTGGATCATGTATTTGCCTTCTTTCCTTTTTCCCCTTCCTGCCTTGTTGAAGATTTCTTTGCACCTCTACAGAAAGTGGCTTCTGTAAAAACTAGTGTGGATTCTGCATCAATTCCTGCTGCCCAGAAGGCTGATATAAGGGCCAAAATTGCGCAACTTCAGGTATCACGGCTATCTATAATCTGTATAAGATTTTGCAGTTCTACTAGCACGTATGTGGCTCTTATTCCATTTTCCCTGATGCTCCCCATTTAGACCTATATTAGATGCTTTACAGCAGAGATGTCGATATGAGGACATGAAAGCTTTTATTTTTGGGTGTCGGTTATATGATGGTCTTAGATCCCCTTTCAAATTGGTTTTTTTTTCTTATCAGAATCAACTGAAAAGGGCACAAAAAAAGATTGCCGAGCAAAATATGCAGAAGGCTGTTGCGACAGCAACCGAATTGGCTGAAGTTGCTGCCAAAGAGGGGAAGACTTTCTACGTCACTCGTATCGACATTGGTTTAGACGCAGCCGCTCTTCGTGAAGCAGTTTCAAAAGTTATTCAACAGAAGGTTTCTAGCTAATTATGACCATTTCTTTTATCTATTAACCAGGGTCTTTTATCAAAATCTGCCTCATATATTTGTGCTTAAATGTCTTCATTCGATGAACAGGGAATGCCGGTTATGATTTTCAGTATCGATGAAACCACAAACAAGGCTGTCGTCTATGCCGGCGTACCCGAGAAATCTTAACAGAGCAAGCAATTGGAAGTGTCAGAGTGGTTAACAAATGCCCTAGGGCCTCTAAAGGGGAGGTGTGGCAGAGGCAAGGGCGGTCTTGCTACAGGACAGGTCGGTAACGCTTATTTTTTTTCCACTCGAATTCTTGAATCTAGTTCTTCGACTCGAGTTACCTGCAATTGTCTCGTGAATTCGAGTACTCCTGCATGCCATTGTTTTTAATCTACGCAATGTACGAATTTTGTTTCAGGGAACCGACATATCACACGTTAACGACGCCATGGACTTGGCAACTTCATTTGCTTCAATGAAGTTAACATGAAACAATTCTCTGCATGGAAGAAGCTTTGGTGCTGTTAAATCGGTATGGAGAAAATACAGTGAAAGGGTAAAATACACTACTTTTATGGTAATGCGATTGCCAAAACGAGCTACTATTGATTGTTGAAACACTGTCAAGTCACTTGTCAGGTTGTGGGTTTATTTAAAATCATGGGTTTAATAAAATTGTTTTGGTTTATATAAAATTTAAATTACAGAATTTTTATATAAAAAATATTAAGATGATTTTTACTATAGATGGTGAAACGTCTGTAAAAAAAATTATTATACATGTATTTTAAAAAACAAAAGAGATACAAAACAAAAAAAATATCTTAATACCAACGAGGTTGGTTTAAGTGATAATCATTTTATATCGCTTAAGTAAATTTTCAAGTTTGAGTTTTTGTGTATGCAGAAAATTCTCGTTGAAGACTCACCCACCAATGTCAGGTGTGTGTTGCGGATCATTCCGTTTTAATCAAGGTGAAACTTTAATATTTGGGAGGGCAACAAAAAACAAGTCTTAATAATAAACAGTAACTTTCAATAGAAATGAATAATATTTTTTATAAATCTAGATAAATATAAAATAATATACATTTAAAGATTTTTAATTAAGAGATAACAAAAAATTATTTAACCACTAAAATCGGTTGGATTATAAATTATGAAAATAATTATCACATAAAATTATAACAACGGATTATAAATATTTTCATATTGTAATGATCTTTGAAATAAAAACTATAATGAGTAATTTGAATATAGCAAATTATTGGCATACAAACATGTTACTATTTCAGCTGCAGAAATTGTAATAAATAGGGAGCAATGAGCAGGGTTACTGCAGCAGCAGTAGTAGGAACGAAGAGTTAGCCCCCACCCGAAAAGTGTTTGCAGCCGTGCCGTGCCGTGCCGTCCATCCCTTGTACGGTCCACCATACACTTTTTTGGCCCCAACACGTGTGGAGAAACCACTCGTCAGCCGCACCTGCTGAATAACCGCACTCCTAGAGGGAGTCACTTTCAGTTTGATGATCACACAACTCCATAACCCCCCTTTCTTTTCTCTTTCTTGTTTGCTCACTTTTGGTTCCTTTCTTCCTCTCTCATCTCTCTTATATCACCAATGCTTCCACTCTTCTTCAACCATTTCTCTTCTATACATTCACACGTACATATATACATATATACATATATACATATATATATATATAGAGAGAGAGAGAGAGTTTGCATGAAATGGATGGAGGAGTGAAAGAGAAAGAAAGGGTTCGTTTGCATGCTTTTCCACGGCTTTCTTGAACTTGTCTTCTCGTGTTAAAGAGGATGAAGCTCAAGATAGCCGTGGGAAGACATGAACGGATTCCTCGTTCATAAATCAGTGAAGATGATTAAGGCAGGTACTCTAGCTACTAAGTTTCTTATGATTTCAGGTCTGCTAAAAAAATATATGACTATCTCTCATGGTTTCATTTTCGAATGATATTTTGGTTTTTGCAACTTTGAAACTCAAGAGAGTAAATTGTGGATCCATTTGAGTTTGAAGTAGGGCAGCTACATGATTACTTTCTAGGAACAAATATTTTGTTGATTCTTAAATTATAAAAAAAACCCAAATTCTTAAAAATCCTAAAAACCCTAAATCCCTCAACCTAATATGAGATGTCACTCTTGTCGGTCATGACCGACCATTTTCCTAGCTATATATATAGTTATAGTTGCCGTTTGTCGGGATCGTGTAGAGTCGTGATTTTCAATGTAAGGTTCAAGAGGTACAAATATTGATTGGTCGTGATTTCATAAGGTTATTGATCCTCGGAAGGTGAGGTCGGGTGGAACTTTGTTGACGGGTAGTTAGCGTGGGGTTTAGAGATTGAAATTAAAGTTTTTAAAGTTTTGAGATTTTTTAAAGTATTTCAAAAATACATAATTTTAATTTAAAATAAAAATTTTAAAATTACCGTGACATATATCCTTTGACAGTTATGACCCGGTCACGTAATGTGATAACGTTTATAACGTTAAACATCTCGATGATTCAAAAAAAATCTAGACATATATTTGGAAAAAAACAGTATAATTAGGTACTTATTTTATAATTAAGCGGATATATTATGGAAGATTTTTTTGTGAACTGTCCATGACGGATGAATAAAGCCCCAACTATCTCATTTTGCTGATATATACACACGCACTTCTGCTTATTCATGAGTAGATATTAGATTTTGTCATGCTGTTGAGTTGATGAGAGAAAAATGTTGTACTTAACGAAATGTATAAAAAGGTTAAGATCGATTTTTATATAAAAAAGTTATTTTAATAATATTATTATGTAAAAATATTTTAATAATCTTATAATAATACTATCAACAAAGGAAAATAATTCAATCGAAGACTTAAAATTATAATCTCCTGTTGAATCCTCAAATACTATTTTTTAAAATTATTTTATAAAATTAAAACCATAAAGACTTATTATATATTATCACTTCAAATAATAATTGCTTTAATTATTTTTAATACTATGGGCGGAAGAAAAATTAATATAAAAAGATGTCATTGAGAAAATTATTCATTCAATGGTAAAAGATTTATACAGATCACTAGCAGCTTTGTTTGATTCTTAGAGACTATTTTTATTATTATTTTATTTTAAAAGTTATAAAATTATTAAATTTATTCAAAATAATCAATTTTCCGTCCCAACATTTTCAAAATGCAATATCTGATATCTAATTTTTTAAATTAATTATTTTAACTCGAAGAATAGAAAATACAATATTTTTTAAACTACTTTTGTTTGTTTGTTTAACATAACATAGTGGGTGGGCTAACACATTCTTGATAAAACGGACGATAGCCTACAGCGCTCGTCATTTGAGAATAAATTTCACAATTTTAAACACATTTGATTATGTGATAAAAATATAATACAAATATAATTATAACAAACATTTATGCACATTATTAACACTTCAAAATTTTAATATATATAATAATAAACACGATACGGATATATAAAAAATTTGTTTATTTTTGACCTAGCTCACCAATCTCGGATTCGAGTTCGGACAACCCGACCCTCTTCCAATTTATATATAAATAAAAATAGAGGTATTTATGCTCATTAATAAGGACTTACAGTTCAAGTCAGAAACTTGCGACAAAACTCACCGTTTCATGTTTTGCATATCAAAAGCCTTCATATTTTACAAATTAAACACACAAAACTGGAAGCCTGGAACCAAATCATTGTAATTTAAAGCTAGACAGAAGGAAAGGTCTCGACAACAAAGACAAAATCCACTCCCAAGACCTTTTAAGTGAGCCAACTAAAATCAAAGGCATTTCCTATATTATCCATCTGCCTCCACCCCATCATCATTAATATTTTTGATGTATTAGAGAAACTACGGGAACGAAAATTCGGGAAGGGGAAATCACGCCTTACTAACGGATCGAAATATACATACAGGGGGGAGAACACATGAACTTACAGGACGGTGTTCACGTGAAGGGCTTTGAGCAACGAAGTAGCCATTTGTTTCACCAACACTTGCCCATCTCTGCGTTCTTCGATTAGATTCTGAAGCTTCTGCGGTAAATCGTTCTCCACTATTAATTGTTTTGGTCGCGGGTGGTGCTCGTAAACAGCCTGCAAAAATAAAATTCACAATGATATTCGTGATAAACATCCTTACGGTAGAGGCTTCGAGAAAACAATCAATCTTAATGGACATAGAAAAACAAGTTTATATTACAAGGAGATTGGCATCGAAAGATTTGTAAACAGAATAGGAAAAGATTCTGACAGCTGAAAGGGTCATACTTACCTTAATTAATTTGAGTAAAATAAGACGAGCAAAAGCATCCTGGTGATCCAATCTTGAGATTAGCAGGGGTGTCAAACCATTAACAGCTAATGTCGTGTTTATTCGAGATGATTTCCTACACACCAGAAATAAATAGGGTCAGTTTAGCAAAATTTCCATACACAGCGATCGCTTAAATGTCTAAAGAAAAAAAGGAGAGAAAAAAGAGATTGAAGCTTTTTGAAAAATGAAGCATAACCAACTTCTACGCATCGATGCAAATATAGAATTAATTTGAAGGAACTGTGAAATTGATGAGAATGGCTCCAAATACTAAGAAATAAACGGAGGATGTAGTATCTAGTACGTGATAATTTTCAAGAACGGCTCCAATATGTGGACAAAGTGTTGATCCGGACAAGACTGGAAAAATTTCACCAATCTTTGAACTGCATCCTTCTTCAGCAAAGCTTGTTCCACCTTGCGGTTGTCGTTGTCATGAGCCAAGCAAACGGCAATTGAATCTAATGCTGTCACAGACCATACTTCATCATTAAGCAAACTCAAGTACACATCCAATCCACCATGGGCCCTCAACTGCTCCCTCGAATTACGTGATGCATGAGCCATGTCACACAGTAGCGGCAATGCATTTTGCTTTAAAGGAGAATCTGACATGATAAAATTCATCAAGTGTGGAATAATTCCATTTTCCGCTGCTTGTTCCTGTCTCCTCTTATTTATCTTGCACAAATTGAACAGGGCATTGAGGACCTTCAGAAGATAAGTAAAAATTTATCAGAATAATGTCGGTTGCACCTCTCAAAAGAGCAAAAATTTAACCCGAATTAATAAGAATCACAATCAGATAAGAGAACTTCAAACGGAAATTTGGTTTGAGATTTAAAGCTGCAGTATATGCATTGCCAATTACCGTCCAGAAGAGAAGGGAAAAGGGTTCAAAATAGTATAATTGATTAATAGGCTAAAAAGGGAAGCCAGTATGCGTAGCAAACGCACTACCCACCCTCAAGGCTCAGCACTCGGCTCCCCAAAGCTAATCAATAGTATACATGTGGATGCTTGGATCAGAAGCGAGCAATGGGGAGAATAATACACGTCTCATGAGATAAGAAAAAGGAACAGGAATTTGCAAAGAAACAAGAAATTAGTACATTAAAAGCAGAAGGCAATTTGGATTTATTTAGCAAAAACAAAAGTTTGCTTGTGGTTACAAACTCCACTGATAACTTCTCAAACATCAGGTAGCCACCATCATTTATCTACTGAATTCAGTCAACATTAGAATTAAACCCAAGAGATAACAGCCCAAAATAGTAAGGGAAGTAATATATAGACAAAGGTAGCAGGTGTAAGATTAAAACCAGGTGCACCAAATAATAAAATAAGGCGAAGCCTCAGATAAGCTCAGATGATAAGAGGGAAGACGAAATATCAAATTTTCTGGCAAATGCATCATTAGGCATAAGGATCAAAAGTATATAAGGCAAACCTCATGATGTATTTGGGAAACAAGAGGCCCATCTTTGAGTTCTAGATTCGGGATCAAATACTTAATAGCATCTGCTCGTTGAAGATTCTCTAAGCAGTTTGGATCAGTGGACAAATGATTAATGCACTTCAGTATCTATGAAAAAGATGACCAGTTAGTAGAAAGAACAAAGGAAAAAGGAATTCAAAGTCAAATAGTTAATGTACCTTTAAAAGAATAGGTGGTTCAATGCGATTGAACATTTGGAAAAGACGGTTGAGCAAGCTTTGGCTACACATGTAGGACTTAACAATTGTATCTGCTTGAGCAAACTCAAGAAGTAGATCTGCAACCTTTTCCAGGTATTCCCTGGCAACATCCGCATTCATTGTTGATACCATGTTGGAGAGTAACCCTGATGAGGTCGTGCTTCCAGGTCTAGCATTTAAAACACCTGAGCCAGATAATACACCTGATGCTGTCTGAGAAGCTATACCAGATCTGGATGCTGCTCCTTCAGTAAAAGCCAGTTGCCCAACTTTCTTACTCACTGTTTTATGCGGAATTTTAGGTGTAGCATCAACAACCCCGTTTTCTCTTCCATGGCCAGAGACCTCTGAAATTATAAATAAACTCGCAGCCTTGAATGAAAGTTCACAACTTGTGTCTTATTACAAAGAAGCTAAGAGGAAATACCATAAGTCTCATCAAAGCTAGTGTAAAACTTAATATGCCAACTTAGAAAGTTCCAACATAATGATACTGATAAAAATAATGTAAGTTCTAGCATAAGTATCTTTCAAGGGTTCACCAATTCCTAACGAGATTATTTTCCAGAAAAAGAAGGTGGATTCTGCAATGCTGTTTTTTCTTGTTAGGTTCAGAATTGCTACTTGGTTCGGGGTGAGATTTAAGGATGTTAAAGTTCCTTTCGATTCTCTAGTTGGGGATCTAAAACTGGCAGATTCGAATGGAAGACAGAAAAAAGGGTGTTCTCCTCCTACTAAGTGGGTACCTCCTCCAGAAGGTTTCCTTAATGTTGATGGGGCAATGGCTAAGGGTTGGGACAAAGGTGGAATAGGTGGTTTGATTAGGGATGACAGGGGTTTGTTACTTGGTTCATTTTCTGAAAAAATTGGAGGTGGTCCTCCTATTCTTGCTGAGTTAATGGCGATCAACAGAGGTTTGACTCTCATTGAAGAAGTAGGCACTTCTCCAAGACACATGATTATCTTGGAATCGGACTCCATCACAGCTCTGAAGTGAATTAAAAATCCAGATCTATGTACCCCTTTATTTCAGACCTTGGTTAGAGGTGTAGCTACCAATGTGGAAGGAAAGGGCATCATTTCAAGACATATTTTGAGAGCTGCTAATTGGGAAGCGGATGAGTTAGCAAAAGCTGGTATTGGTTGATCAAGTGTATTGTGTTGAGGTTCTTTAGTTGTTGTGCTTACTCAGTTTCTAGGTTTATGGTTTTACTGCTGCAGTTTGTTTTATGTTTTTAAGTCTTATGTCAAGCAGTATATGACTAGGAATTGGTTGTACGTTATGATTCAGAGTAATAAAATTCAGAGGTGCTCTTTTCCTCCTTCCTATGTCCATGTTACTGATATAACATGTAGGATATGAAGGGGTTTTTAATGAGGCCTATCTTTTATCAAAAAAAAAAAAAAGAAGATAAGGTCAACCATTTACATATTTTAACATCTTCATAAAGCAATTAGCAGTAGATCAACCAATGATGAGTATTTACCTGCAAATTCAGCCATCAAGAAGTCTAATTCACCATTGGCTTTCCTATCATTATTAGCATGTAGAAGAGGCAGTATGCTTTCATGTCTCTCTGATCCTGGCAGGTGACGAACATACTCCAATTGATCTGAAATATGTCTAGAAGGAGGTTCATTCGCCAATAGGCTAAGGAGAGGCTGAACTTGCTGTGCTTGGGTAGTAACTGAAGTGGGGAATCCATTTGATATACTTTCTATCAATTTGGGAGGTCTATCTGTAGATGTCCTGCCTGCAGAGGTACTTATCCTCTGCTGTCTGAGGTCAATCTCAGCTCTACCAGGATCAAGTGTCCACCGATCGGAATTTTCTCGATCTCTGGAAACAGTTGAAGCTTCTTTGGTGGCAATGTTTGAAACTTTTTCCAGGGGTGTCAGATCTGCCAATTTAGAACCAACTGAAACATCCACCGCTCCACTACTAAATTGAGCTCTGCCGCTGTCAATAGCAAGATAACGTGAATCCGGCAGATTGGCATCTGACCTCTGAGAAAGTGAAGTTGAAGCCCGAGAAGGTTCTTGTGCTACAGCTAGAAAGGAATGCTTAATTATTACATGCCTAACTTTAAGGATAATAGATGGATCAGTTAGAGAGAGTGGAGCCTCACTCTGAGCAAACAAAGGATGAGAGGAATCTAATGGACCAGAACGTTGCCGTTGAGCTGAACAATCTACAGCAAATCCACCCCCAACAGATATGGTAGCAAGTCGAGTCGCCTCATTTAAACTATAAAGAGTATTAATAAGCCTCAGCAATATCCCATTCTTAGCAGCTATCTGACAGAAATCATTCCTTGGGGTTGATCGCTGAAGCTTGAAGACCTGCCACATGCCATCAATTGCTAGGTGCACCATTTCCCTGTGTAATAAAAGGCTAATGAGCTTTTTTCAAGTACAGAAAGGAAAATTCACTGGTGCATTTGAAACATAATATTTCAAAAATGACAAGGGGTAGAAGAATCAAAACGGTGCTAGTGCATCAATGAAGTCACAATGATAAATTTGATCACTTGATTTTAGAGCTTTCCAAAATCGTATACTGTCACAAGTCTTGCATTAAATGCAATCAACTATTAACCACATCCAAAAACACACAAACCTGTACTTTGCATAATCAGCCTCTAAAAAGCCAACTAAAACAGGGATTCCACGGCAAGCTATGAACATCTGCAAAGTCAGAGAACTATAAAAGGAAACGAACATGGTAAGTACAAGTCTTTTCCAACAATTAAAAACAATATTAAGCAATTGAAGTAATGAGAGAATTTAACACCTTGATAGGCAAAGCTGCTGCAAGAAACAAGCAGCTTCCATCCGAATTTCCCGAGGACGATCAGGCCCCGCAAAACTCATTACAAACGGGATCTATAATACAACTTGGAAGTGAATAAAACTGCTTAAATACTACAATCTTCACTCTCTTAGTCCCTCCCTCCCTTTCTAATTTTACTTGAAAAGACCAAACAAATAACAGACAAATACACAGAAATCATGAGTACCTATGAAAACTTTTATTCACATGAACTATTACAGCCAAAGAACAAATTAAGGGTTATAAAAATGATGATAAAGCCTCGTTAAGAGTTCTCTAGCTCATTAGTGTGGAACAAGGAAGCTGCCCATGCCTGGAAATAGTTAAGGTTAAGAAAGTGCCAATAAACTTTGTTATCCATGAAGTGGGGAAAGCAAAATAAAACTGAACTCCTTGTTAGGTCCCACGACCTGTTAAGCATGCAATAAGACCTTGCCCAGTGATATATATGGATAAATGAAACAAAATGACCATAGTACTTACAAATCCCACGAGACAAGCATTCTCCTGGAAATCAGTGTTGTCTTTTACAATCTGATTAATAAGTTGAAGCACAGAACATATAACCTGCAATTGCAGTAAAGATTAACAGTCAGTTGTCTTCACCAAGCAAATAACCTAGTTGGAAACAATCTAACATAATTTTATTCCTTTTCCATCTAGGAAAACAGAGTTTTCCTTTTTTCCATTTTTTTGGGGGTGGGGGTGGGAAGAGAGCCTCATAGTTAACATACACGAGTTCTTGGGACATCAAGCAAGTCCATTAGAGGCAGCAAACCATGCTGTGTAACAAAAACAGTTTTCTGTTCAGGACGTTGGTGGAAAATCGCAACGAGTTTCTGGCAGGCAGTCACAATTGCATCCTCTGATTCCTCTGGTCTTAGTGAGCCAACTAATCTACTAAATTCAACAGCCTATAGCACAAAAACAAAATATGCTTTTTAAATCTCTCTGCTTCCAGAAACAACAATAACACGAGGAAGGTTCAAAATAAAGAATTCAACACATAGGAATGGAGAGGCAATGAGGATCAGATAAGGATTGGGAAAAAGTATAAATTCATTAGTTACTGGCATGACCATGTTTTCTCCTTGTGATATAAAAAATATATGTTTGAGTCATAAATATTAAGTGGGGAGAAATCCAAAAATAATCTCCTTTGCGTTTAGAGTCTAGTATGTGCAACTTTTAATAGGATTGATTATTTTTTTATAAGAAGGTAGGCCTCGTTAAAAACCCCCTTCATGATTAATGGAGCACAAAGTGCTCTTTAATCAGCGGAAGGAGGAAAAGAGTGCCTTAATTCATTAAAAACCGAAATATACATAATGTTTAAAAACAAAACACACCCTTTACAATATTCAACCCAAATCCTAACTAAAGCCTAATAGAAAGATGTGTAACTAGCCAATACCAGCTTTAGCTAAGCTGTCAGCCTCAACATTGGCTGATCTAGGAACCCATTTAATAATACCATTAAGATCTCTTAACAAAATAACAATTTCTTTCACAAAGACTCTGTAGACATAAGGACAACAATCATAATTTTTGACCCACTCCACTGCTAGTTTACTGTCTGATTCAACAATTAAGCGTTCTTTAAACCTCTGATGAATCAAAGCGAAGAAAGATAAGCTCTTCTTTATTGCCATAATCTCAATCAACAGAGGTGGACCTGGACCATCTGCCTCTTGGAAAGAACCCATCACCGAGCCATCCTCAACTCTTAGAATGCCCCCAACACCACTTTTCCTCCAATCTCCATTCACTGCTGCATCGACGTTCAATTTTATAAAACCCTTTGGTTGAGGAGACCAAGACACAATTTTGATGATCGAAAGCCTTGGATTAGAACAACAGTCCCCAAGAGTTGGATCAGAAATGAGAGAATCCTTTAGAATAGCCACGTCATTGAATTTAGCTAAGAACCAAGTAGCCAACCTACATCTTGCCATAAAAAATAACTCCATTTGATCTACCCTTCCCCCATCGAACACAATGTCATTCCTAGTTTTCCAAATCGTCCATAGAACCACTCCCGGAATAAAGGACCAAATTTTAGAATTAAGGACCATTTCTTCCCAAGCTACCATAAAACTTTGAGCATTATCCTGCAGAACCGAACACACTCCCCAAATTTTCAGAAATTTATTCCAAAGATTCCATGCCACAGTGCAAGTGAAAAATAAATGTGCTGAAGATTCAGCCTCCTCTTTACAAAACGGGCATGCAACATCAACAATAGCTGAAACTCTCCTATCACCTGTAACCTCCACTCTGCACTAACTGCCAATCCATAAAGGAGTCTGTCGAAACAGGACAGCAAGACTTCATCTAGACTTGACAGAATAGATACCTTCCCCATTCCCTCCAAATACATCTCATCCAAAAAGAGTCTGTTGTCGAAATAGGACAGCAAGACTTCATCTAGACTTGACAGAATAGATACCTTCCCCATTCCCTTTCCAAATCAACCCATCTGACAAATCATGGGATAGAGTGATATTGTGAATTATCGCCATAAGATCAGAAAACTGTTCCAGCTCTCAATCACTTAGATTTCTTCTCAATTGAACATGCCAAGACCAAACTGATGACCGAAACTCTCCAAACTCCTTAAGCTTCCCATTCCTGTTTAAAGACAGAACAAACAGTCTCGGGAAAACTACTTTAAGAGGAAAATCAAGCGCCCAACAATCAAACCAAAAACTGATGCTCCCTCCATTCCCCACCCGTACATTGAACAGACTTCGAAACTTATCTCCAAACTGATCCTCTTTGAAATGGTTTTGAACTACCGATTTCCAAATCCAAGAAGCATGTGCAGGAAATTTATCCTTGAACAACAGAGATCTAGTGTCCAGATTATACTTACAGCAGATAACCCTCTTCCACACTGACTCTCTATCGTTAGCAAACCTCCACAACCATTTTCCTAGGAGAGCTCTATTCATATAATTGAGATCCAAAACTCCAAGACCCCCAACACTTTTAGCAGAGCACACTGTCGACCAATTAATCCAGTGAATTTTCTTTACCTCTACCCCTCCTCCCCATAGAAATCTGGCCATGATGGAATTGAGTTTAACAATCACCGAAGAGGGAATTTTAAACAATGACATGAAATAGATGGGTAAAGAGCACAAAACAACCTTCAATAAGATCACTCTCCCTACCATTGACAAAGTCTTCGCCTTCCATCCAACTAACTTTTTGTAAAACTTCTGCACAATCGGATCCCACATCAAAGTAGAATTTCTCTTAACACCAAGCGGCAGTCCCAAATATTCCGAAGGGAAATGCTCGACTGAACATCCAATTGCATTAGCCCACTACAATACCTCTTCCTCTCTGATATTAATACCAAATAGTTTACTTTTAGTAAGATTCAGTTTGAGGCCTAATATTATTTTGAAAACCCGTAGAACCCTCTTAACATTCAGAATCTGTCTTCGATGCAGAGCAGAAAATTATTAGATCATCTGCGAATTGCAGATGAGATAAATTATAAGAAGCCTCATCTTTGCCAACAACCAGACTAGAAAACAGACCCGCAGTTACTGCCTTTAACAGCAGTAAGTTAAGTAACTCTCCAACGAAATTAAACAGCAACGGAGACAAAGGACACCCCTGTCTAAGACCTCTCGCCATAGCAAATTCATCCGTAGGTACTCCGTTAACTAATACTGACACCGAGGTTGTTGTGACACATTTCCGAATCCAGCAGCACCACTTCGATCCGAACCCCATTTTAGTCATGATTTTAAAGAGAATATCTCAATCAATCGTATCATAAGCCTTCTTAAAGTCTACCTTAAACACACAACCCTTCAATCCTTTCTTTCTCCATAAGTCAATTCCTTCATTAGCAATAAAAGAACAATCCAAATTTTTTCCACCCGGAATGAAAGCATATTGTGAATCACTAATAATATCATCAATGTAACCTCTTAACCTTCTCGAGAGACACTTGGACAGAATTTATACACTACTACTAATAGGTCTGAAATTGTCAAACCCCCCAATATGAGAACCCTTTGGAATGAGAGTAATGAAAGAATGATTGATGCCATGCTCCCAATCTTTTTCCAAGTAAAAGTTATGGAAAAATTTCAAAATATCACCTTTTAAAGAGGGCCAGAATTTCTTAAAAAAACCCATATTCAAGCCATCTGGTCCAGGAGCTTTGTTGCTATCACACGAGTTTATGGTTTCCCAAATCTCATCTTCCGTAAACTCTTTTTCTAGCATAAGACTCTGCTCCATAGAAATTCTTGAAAAATTCAACTTAATATCCTCCACTTCCAAAGTTGAACTACAATTGTAAGCCTTATAAAAATGCTCTCTAACAGCTGACTTGATAAGAACAGGATCTTTGATAACTTCACCTTCAACATTAATAGCATTCAAAGAATTCATCCTCCTCCTAATGGTGGCACATGTGTGAAAAAATTTAGAATTCCGGTCTCCATCTTTAACCCACTTCTCTCTTGAATTTTGGAACCAGATTTGTTCCTCAATTCTGTATAGTCTCCAAAGCTCATTTCTCAAAAACCTCAACTCTGTTGAACTGCCATAGTCGATGGAAATTTGGTTTTGTTGAAACTGATTTTCCAGCTGATGAATTTTGTCTTCTAGAGAAGAGATATCATCACGTGAAAACTGCTTCTTATCCCCAGACCAACTCTTAATAGCGACCTTTGTATTCTTAAGAATACTCAATATACCAGCCATTTTCTTGTCCTTCCTGAACTTCTTTATGGACTCTGTAATCTTCTCCTCAAACCCTTCCTCAGACATAAGAGAGCTAAACAGCCTAAAAGGTCTTTTGCCCCAGTTATCTACCCCACTCTCCAGAATTAAAGCATTATGATCAGAGATAGATTTAGGTAATAACGATTGAGTGATACCAGAAAATGCTGCAGAGAAACTAACATTAACTAGAAACCTGTCAAGTCTGACAACAGTGGGATAATCCCGGTTGCTGCTCCATGTAAAATTCCCCCCAATTAAAGGTAGATCAATTAGCCCCGTTTGCTGAGTAAAAAGACTGAAGATTTCCATAAAATTCTTGTTCTAAGTACAACCCTCCTTCTCTTCTTCTGTTAAATAGGCATTGAAGTCCCCTCCCACACAAAAAGGAATGTTGAACCCATTTAAAAACAGTCCCAGTTCTTCAAAAAACCCAGCCTTTTCTTCTTCCACAGATGGACCATAAACATTTATGAAACCACATCTAAGTTGGTTCGATTTGAACTTCCCGAAAACAGCAATAAACCTCTTGTGAACATGTTGGTCTTCTTTCTCAAAAAAACTATCATCCCAACAACTTAAAATACCCCCTGAAGAACATGTTGCTGGTGACTCAAAGACCCCTTGGAACTTATTCAACCCACTTCTCCTTAAGAAAGATCTTGGTAAAATCTCAAGTTTTGTTTCTTGTAAAAAAAGAAACATTGGTTTTTTCTCAGAAACTATTTTTTGAACTGCTCACTGTTTTTCTTTTTTACCTAGCCCCCTGACATTCCAAGACAGCATACATAGCTTTGGCATCATATTTCTAATTGATAATACCAAAAACAATCCCAGGATTAACCCACAAACTCAGGAAGCCCCACTCAAGCCTTTCTCCAAATCCATAATTTTTTGAAGAAAAGCATTCTTCCCTTCCTTAAAAGATATACCCAAAATCCTGCTGATCTCCCATGTAGCCATAGCTTCCTTCAACAGCAAAGTGAAATCTGATGAGGACACGGTAGAAATAGCAACATGATCTAAAGCATCCCTAATGAGGGCTCTTTTAAATCTCCTGTTGAACCTCCTCCCCCTTGAACCATCAGTTTCCCCTTCTGTAAAATCAGCATCCTCCACAAAATCAGAATGATATCCTCTTGGAATTAAAGCCCTATCCAACTTAATACTGCTCTCCCCTCCTGAAACATCCAACCATATATTCCTTTCCTTAGACCTACTATAAACTCTCTTATGACTTTTAATTAACTTTCTTCCAACCGGGGCACTTTTCATGGATAAATCTCAGAACGAGTATGAGAACCAACTCTTATACTTAACATCTTTAAATCTTCATCAGACCCCATTTCAACATCGTTCCCTGTTGGATCCTTATTACCAACCTCTATTGACATAACACACTTACTATCCTTGGCTTTGTCTTCATCCCCTGATCTGTTCTCATTACTAAACTGATGAAGGCTCTTGAGATGCCTATCCATGTTGCTCATGGTCTTCATTTTCCCTTGAAATATTCCATGTCTGACACATAAATGGACATGGGTATGGTGGTAGGACCTCAAGGACCCCCAAATATAGGGAAAAACTTTTATAAAATTTAACATACCCACGCCAAAAATATTTCAATATCTGACACTCGGACAGTCGAGTCTGAGTTACATATAATCCCACTCTCCACAAGACCAGCAATTGAACAAAATTAAATAGAAGACTACAAAAAAGGAAGATCCTTGAATTCAAAAACTAGGAAGCAGTATAATATATAATTTTCGATAGAAAGATCTTAAAATTAAAATTTACTTGATTGATTTGCACAAAAAGGATTTTCTAAGATTGAAATCAATGGCAAGAGATAAGCGTAACATTCATTTATAAAGGATGAAAAAAATCAATTGGAAAAAATTTAAGACTCAGAAAAACTAAAAGGTTACAGCAGAATAAAATTAATAATTTCTTTGGAGAAGGAATATGAAGATAGGTTCATAAACATATACGTGGACACTTGCACAGGTTGAAAATCATAACAGAAATAAACAATGTTCAACGTAAATAATGTTGCTGTAAAAAGTTTGGAACTTAAATCATCATTGAAGACAAAAATGCAAAGTACAAGCAACTGCAGATATTTAACAGTATAAAAGTTACTTTAAACCTAATAGAATCAAGATCCAAAACAACAATAGGCATGCAAACCTAATATAATCAAGGGTGGAGTGCATTGCATAAAAAAAAAAAACGAGGTTCCATTACAGAGAAAAGAAGCCAAAGCACTTTCGAAAGAAACATTAGGAACCTGTAGGGGAAATAGGTTGTCAGAGGGTAGCTTCTCATCTCCAAAAACCTGGCCACAACAATACCATAAACAAAAGAAAACATCAAGCTCATACCAGACAGTAGCACATAAACATCATATGCCTAGCATACCAAACCATAGAGATAATTTACACATACCAAACCATCAATGTCAATTACGTCATCCTTCAAAACACCCATCATTAAGCGAAGCAGGTCACCACCTTCATTAGACCGCCCCATTTCCTCTTCCATTTGTTTCTTAGCAATTGTATCCCTTAATTTCTTAGCTAGGTCATTCTTTCCAGTATCAGGCATAGTAGCTTTGCTCACATTAGATGTAGATGCAGATGTTGAAGCTTCGGCTGCACTTTCTGCCAGGTTTTTATCGAATGGATGAAATAAGTCATCCAAGGAAGCATCTCCAGGAGGATCACTAAATCTACTTAGCCCATTTCCATTAGAGATCACTGAAGCTTTCACAACCTTCATAAATAGAATTCAAATTGTAAGATTCCACTTTTACTTTCATCAGGAAACCAAAAAGGAAGGTAAGAAAGATGAATGGTAAAATGATGACAAGCTGGGTACATTGAGCAGTCAAACAGATAGAGCATTACTAGTCAGTAATGACCATTTTCTTTTCTCTCTTTTTTTTGGGGGGGGGGGGGGGAGGGGCTAAAAGATCACGAAACAAAAGAATAAGAAACCATCATTACAAGTTCAATCTGAACTAGAATGTCAAAACAGGCAAAAAGGTAATGAATACATCAATTGATAGTTCCCTAAAACTTTTAAAATTAAAATAACGGCTTATTAGCTCATTAAGCAAAGCATTAGAGTGAAGAAGATATTTCATGGAGATAATTGGCTCATGATGTCATACGAAAGAAGATTAGTTGTTTTAGCCAATGCAAGTCACAACTAAGCATCTACATGGAGAAATCCATCGTATAATCCAGCCAATTAACATTTTTTTTCAGAAACTGAACATTCTGTGAAGCATTTACCTTTTGCAGACCAGCATCCTGAGTTATAGGTCCAAAGCCAAATGATATGTCCTCAAAATCAATTGAACTTCCTTTGCCTCTATGTCCTTTTTCAGTTTGATTTCTTCTTGATTCAGGAGATCCAATATCAGAATTCATCATAACTCCATCTTGAGGAGATATATCATGAAGCTGAGCAGAACCATTGGCAGCTACCGCATTCTTAACAGAGAGTCTACCAGAACTACTGTGTAATGATAAGCTTTCATGAATTGCCAAGGTTGGAACTTGATCTGATAGTAGATCATTGTCTAAATTATTTGCAGTTTCTTCAACTCTATCCTGATAACAAGCCAGCTGATGAGTGACCTCTGCTGATAAGAACTCTTTCCTGGAACCCTGGTGATCAAAGATTACAACTCGATAATGTGATGAAATCAGCATCATCATTGGGAAAAAGGGTTCAAGTTGAAAAGGTTCTCACTGTTTCTGATGCCTCCACTTCCTCCATAGGAAGACTCTCTCCAGCACTCTGATTATCTCCACTAGAGCTTTCTCCATTTGCTGCAATGTCTTCAGATATGTTTCTGCCAAAGGAATAGGAAAAAGAAAAGCAGTGGCAACCATCATGTGATGGAGTTGGAGTACATAAAACACGAATAGCAAGGTTAAAGATGTATTTTGTAGCCAGTCAGCAAACCAACCAAAAAAAACCATGCAACTAAAATACAGAAGTAGAAACACTATCTCAGCAAATGAAAATATAGGGAGAAATATTTCCAATAATTATAGATAAAATTAAGAGTTAAACTCGAACCCCCCCCCCTTTCATTTTGAAGTGCATATATTGCAATAAAGGAGTTGGACTAAAAGGCAAAAAATATTGGAAAATCTTTAAGAACTGCTTGAATTCCAACAAAAAAGAACAGGTAATAAGGTTACAATAGAAACCTTCATAAGCAGACACGTCCCCATAATTTAGTATGGAAATTGAACACTGCAAGCCCATTAAGTTATATCCGGATCAAAAGTCTAGAAAAGGCTGAAAAACCTTAAAATTTGTTGCAACATACAAAATTTTATTCTAGCATTCTGGCTTTCACAACAAACTGCAACCTAAACAAATCATCTCAGACAGGAGTATGTAAATAAAACAAGATGTACAAGGTGAAATAGTGCACTCATATACGTACAATCTATAAAGAATCCATCAACCAACTTAATGTTTGCATGGTTAAAGCATGGTCAAACAAAAATCATAACCAAACAAATTGTCATGAAAATAATGTAGACTAAAATCAATTAAAAGTCTGATTATTTGAACAGCATAATGAATGTAGCTCTCCAGATGATAACCGGGGCTGTGGGACAACCACGCAGCACATAACTTCATGAATGCAACCAAAATCTCATCAAGACAATTTCCAAAACATATTAAATGCAACATATTGTTCTATACATTACCTGATGGTTCCACTATGACGCAGAGACGACCGCAAAGCACGTTTGCAATTCCGTATCCAAGGGTGAGAAAGCAGTGTTTTTGCATCAGGCCTCTGTCTGGCATCCTGAAAATTCAATAGTGCCACTAACACAATAATAAGTCACCAATGACTTCAAAGTGGTCAAGTGAATATTAATAACATTTCAATACAACCTTTTGAACTTAGCAGCCACCATCATATTGGTGGACAATAAATTGAACTTCAGCAGTAACCATACAAACTACGGACCAAGATTGAGGGCCATATATTCCTTAGGTCCCATGGCCTTAGTCTATGAAAATTTAGCATGATGATTTAAATTTCTCAGATTTTGTTGATTTCATTTCATCTTGAGGTTGGCTGCCTCGTAAAGATTTTGTGTTTACAAGAATGTTCTCTTACTCCGGAACTTTTAGAAAGCTATTTTTGCCTTCTTTTTGTTTATTAAGAGGGAGAGAGAGCTTTTGAAGAATTGTAAAAAAAACATTTTTAAGTAGACTAATAATGAATATCTATTTGCTTTTGGTCTTAATAGAGTCCAAATAAAGATCAACACATCTCATCCCCATTAATAAAAACCTTTTAAGGAGCCTTCGGTTGGGGAAATTGGGGCCTTAGTTTCTGCTAGGGAGATTATTGTTAGACTGATTCCTAGGAGCTGTAATTGGGAGGCAGATAAATTAGCTAAGGAGGGGATTGGATGAATGTTTTGAGTTTTATTGATGTAATGTTTTGGGTTTTTATTTTTGGTTGTTTACTGTGTAAGGTGTACTCTTATGTAATTATTGTTTTATCTATAAATTGAGATACTCTTTTCCTCCTTCCGCTAGTTGCCTCTTCACAAGAGCCAACTAAGAGAGGTTTTTAATGAGGCCTCCTATTTCTATCAAAAAATAAATAAAAACCTTTCCTTACTAATAAATTAATATTATTCTGACTGCTCAACCAAGCATGACTCATGGAAAATAAACTTTTGATAAAATCAAGTGATAGTTAAAATAAAATTTGGAACTTCATTTTTCTTCCACTAACCTTCTTAAAGCATTGGCGCAGAAAGTCGGTAATGTCTGGAGATAGGCTGTCAGGTATTGGTGGATGTTCATCCTGCGAGGGTAAAAAAGACATTGAAAAAAATGTGCTTGTTAAAGCATTCTTAAGCGGTAAAATAAGATATGGAATGATTTAATCACTAGGTAGGAAAAGAAAAACAGAAACTCTGAGAAGAATTTACTCTTATGGAAAAAAATTGTGACAATACAAATGTCAGACAAACCTGCACAATCCGATAGAGAGCTGGCATAGGCTGTAGATCATAATACGGAGGCACACATGTAAGGAGTTCAATTACAGTGCAGCCAACACTCCAAATGTCAGAAGCAGCGCATACCCCTGACATTTCAATCACCTGAAATATAATTCAACTTCCAATGTAAGGCATCCATAAACCACACAGATCATACGTGAAAACTTGGAGAAACAAGTTTGACAATTAAAAGCCAAACTCCAATCATAAGTTGGAACCAAAGAACTACCTCTGGGGCCATCCAATATGGTGTTCCAACAACCGAGTGCGTGTTAATATCAGCCTCAGTTAGTTTGGTTGCAACACCAAAATCAGCAAGTTTTACAAGACCCTGAAAAGAGAAATTGAGCTTAAGTTGGGAAGAAACCAAGAGAATCCATTCACCCCAAATGAAGACCATCAAAACTAACTTGGACACAAAATTATATGACAAAATGGCATGGTGACTATAACAAATCCGTGAACAAGCAGGGCCACCAAGGTTTGGAGCAATAAATTATGGCAACAATTCAGCAGCCCACAGGTTTCCCACTCTTAAAAGAAACACTTAGACTTCATTTATATTAGCAAATTTCTAACTCACCACATAAGTTGCCAAAGTACAAGGTAATATGTGAATTAAGTGGACCAAATTCAATTAGCCATTAATGCCCCACAAATAAGGAGTTCATATGGTAATGTTCTCTATCTCTGCTTCCGTACTCAAATTTATAGAAAGAGAATCATTATATATAACTTATATGAAATAATAATAATAATAATAAAATTCTCTAAGGATAAGAAAAAATAAAATAGCTATTAGGTTACCTCTTTAGTTGTCAAAATATTTGCACCCTTAATATCCCGATGGATGACACCTTGTTCATGTAGGTAAACCAAGCCTTCCAAAACCTGTTTAACAAGTAGTTAGCATATCCATATGATACTTGAATAGGGAAATGAAGCAGAAAATTACAGAAATACAAACCTGGGAAATATAAACAGCCACCAAGGATTCTGGAAAAGGCCCAAATTTATTGGGTTTGATAATGTTAGCAAGAGAACCATTCTCCACATATCTATTAAAATGTGAAACAATAACTATAAGTTTCTAATATCTCAGAGAACATGCAGTCGCAACGTAAGGTTTCTATTTCTTACTCAAGAATTATATGCAGATGAGATTTTGTCTTCGATGATCCAAGATACTTCACAATGTTTTTATGGTTCAAATTCTGCAAAGAAGCTCAAATTTTAATTAAACATCAGTAAGATACTGACCCTTTATACCATGAATTCCAACCAGCAGCAGACAACTACATCAAAGATTACCAGTAAACAACAAATAAAGGACAAGAGGAAATTAAAAGGATTAATAGTCACAGACAACAGGCAATAAGACATCTTCAGCACACATATGGCAAACCCATATATCAAATAAGCAAAAGAGAACTATGACGTAGCATCCATTTAAGTAGAAGAAGCATAAATAGATTAATAGACCCAAAAAACAGTTAAGAGAGGGAGTTACCTTCAATAAATCAATCTCTTGCTGAAATGTTAGCCCGTTTCACCAGCCAAGTGTATCCAAAAGAAAAAGGCAACTTGTCAGCCAAGCTAACACAAAAGAAACTATAAATAGTAAATGCATATCTCAGATATAACATTCTATGGACCAGATATAAAATTTTATATTCATTTTGCATGTTTATTACCTAATTCTTTTGAAATGTTGGGAAAATATATTAAATAGGCTGAAATTATAACCTCGAATAATCAATGAAATCTGAATAATAATAATAATAATAAATACAGCAGGTTTCATAGTAACAAGGCAATTTTATTGACAAGGAAAAATTTACAAGTACTCTAAAATCAATCAATAAGTCCTTGGAAGATGTTCGGAGACTAAAATCCAATCCATTCTCCTCGTTGATTGCAACACTATGGCCATCTGTAGTAAAATGCAACTGAACGTTGCTGATCAGACAAATAAACTTAAATAAGGCAAGTCTTATTTAACTTGGATACAAAACATGTAGCTTGTCAATATAAGGTTAAGTATATCACTGATGTTTTTATCATGAGAAAAGAAGTTCCTTATTAAAGAAACTTAAAAACACGCCAACCAACAGAAAAGCTACATATTCAAACACTCGTCCATCCATCAGAATGCCTTGAAACAATTGGGTTGCAAAAAGTAAAAGAACCTGACTGTAATTTTATATATGGAAACATAACCACTAATGAACTGACCCTAATCTAGCAAGCCATCTTACTAAAAAACCCATGCTAATTCTAAGTATGCGCAAATATAGAAATTCCAGGGCAAAAATCAAATAGGAAAATCGAACCATTATAATATTGAGATCCTCCTGTGCTATATTCTCCAAAGATACTTGTTTAATCGCAACAAAGTCTCCATTCTCCAAATCCAAACCTTTGTAGACGCGTCCATATGCACCTTTTCCAATTTCATCTCCAAGCATCTATATATAAAAAACCAGAAGACAAAATCTAAATTTCAAAATACTTCAAATGTTTCTCAGATGTGTGCTCAACTCCTATAAAAATTGATTCACTGAAGGATATAAAAAATAACTTAGATTCAGCTTGCCAAAGAGAGCTTAAAACAACCAAACAACGGAAAAGGATGATTGAAAGTGCGTAATTCTTTCATTTATCCTCCCCCCCTCCAATTTGTCATCAACTCACTGAAATAAGTGACATTTGACTAAAAAAAACCTTCTCATCTTAATTTTCATTAGCATTCTACTCCTTTCATCCACTCAATTCTACAACCGACCAAAACAGTAATCAACAGTAACTCGAGGAAAAACAGATCGAATTATGGAAATTAGACTCACGTATTTGTTGTCGAGAGTTTTGGATTTATGAAAAGCAGTTGAAGGTGCTTGCCGAGACATTACTATGACCTTAGTGTATATTCTTCCCCTGCTGCTGCTGCTTCTCTTCCCTTGTTTTCTGTTGTTTTAAGAGATGACAAAGGCAATTTTGGTCAGTCTTTTAAAAGAACCCTACTAGAAGAAATGCTCCATCTTTTGACGACAAAAAACTAGGGTTTAGAATCGCAGGAATCCAGCGGCGAGGCTAGAGCTCCTGAGAGGCCAAAGCCAAAGGGAATTCAAATGAAAAGAAAAGGGCAGAGAAACGAAAAAAACAAGAAAAATAAAGAAAGTGAAAGAAGGAAAGAGAGAAGGGAAGGACCAATAGGAAGACTTTTTACACTATTTACTAATTGGCTTAGGCATGGATAAATGTATAAATAGTGATTTTTTCCTCATTTTTCATAAAAAATAGAGAAACTAGTCCATAAATTTTGTAAATTTCTTAATTTAGTCCCTAAAAGTTTTTTTTTATCACATTGAACTTTGAATTTAGACTTTTATTATTTTGATGACGTATCATTTGATATTATGCAATATAATTTCAAAGTGTTATTTTATAAAATTAAATAAAAATAGGGAAAATTGTCAAATATAATAAATAATGTAGATTAAAAATTATAAGAATCTAATTGAAAAATAATAATGTTCTAAGTGAAATGAAAAAAATATAAAATCACATAAAAATATAAAAATAAGGAAGAGATGATACTTTGTCGTCCCTCTTGAATCTTCGTTGATAGAAAATTTTATTTTTGGACATCGTTCGACTTTAGGGATTAAATCATTTTTATTAAGAAGAGTAGTTCCCATCAACCAAACCAAAGAAAACAATCGAAGTCAACTGTAATAAAAGAAGAGGAAGAAGGAGAGATGATCAGAGGCAAAGGAGAAATGAGGGTAGGTGAAGGGGTCGTGAAGGAGGAGGCGAGAAGGGAGGTAGAAAAAAAAGACAATAAAAATTATGAAGGGAAAGAGATAAAGAGAGGACGACCAACCGATCCGGTTATACTTGATTATCTCGGTAACATCGTCTTCCAAATACCAGTGTCACGACTATGGCTAGCGCTCTCCAGCCTTCACACATTTCCTCGGGTGAGGCTGTTCGAATGGCGTGCGACACGTGAAGCTTTGCATGTTGGTTGACAACTTTATCTGGCCCGGGTAGTGCAACAGATGAAACGGTGATGCATGCTTTGCGAGACTGCCGGAAGTTCAACCTATCTTTGCGACAACCAACCTTCCATCGTTTGTGACTTCAGGGCAATTCCCTTCCTGTGGTTCGTGGTTCGAATACTTCTGGAGCCTCTTCCATCACAGAAGTTTATATCTGTCGTGGTGGTGTTGTCCCAAATATGGTATCGTCGAGACATTTTCATTCATGAATAAAAAAGACTGCCAGGATGGCATCTGGTCACCTTCAGTAGGGCAGTGCGAATCGAATACACAAATGCAAACAATGTCTTTTTTATAGGAGGATCTCCATCGTCGGCTACTAATCACTCACTGCTGGTTAAAACCTCCCACCGGTGCTACTAAAATGAACGTGGATGGAGTATGTCTCCTCCGGGGTCAATGGTAGCAAGTGCTATTCTAAGGGATTCTGATGGATTTGTGTTAACAGGCCGGGCAACATGCATCGAAGGTCCTCATAATGCTAGTTACATAGAAACTCATGCAATTTGTTATGGGATCCGTCTTGATGTGGAGTTGGATTTAACACACATAATCTTGAATACATTATATTTAAGAAAATAAAAAACAATTTATATTATTTTTAAAAACAGTCAATCAGGGTTTAAAGATGACATTGATAGCACAAAATGTTAAAATGCCACATCAGCTTCAAGTCCATATTCAAATTTGATAAAAAAAATCAGGCGTCAAATTGAAAAAAAAAAATACTAAGATGAAGTACCAATTCATATATTAACCCTTTACAAAATAATAGAATAACTTTCACCCTACTCCATATAAAATAAACATATATTATTTTAATATTATAACTTTAAATTAGATTAAATATTATAATTGAATCTCAAAAATCATATTCATCATTAAAATAATTGAGATCAAATTAAACCCAATTAATTTAAATAACAATATATAAAAATTTTATAGCATATAGCGAGCTGGCTGACATGATCTTATACATAACTATTTTACACAACAATAATGAAATTAAATCTATTTTCTAAAATCAAAATCTCTTATTATGAACAAAAATTTTCTACTTCCTCTATGTGTTTCTCTTTGTGTCTCACTAATAAGATTTTGACACGTATATTTTTATTTTTACGGCAACACTAGGGATGGCAAACGGGCAGGTCGGGTGCGGATACCCCCATCCCCATACCCACCTACTATTTTTCAATCCACCACCCGCCCACCACCCATGATGGTTACAAATTTTCAAATCCACACCCGCCCACACGGGTACATTTTCAAATTCATCCCCACACCCACTACCTACTAGCGACATACCCATCTAGACCCGTCTGACAACAAACTAATGAGATGTTGGAGTTGATTCCCAAACAGTTCGTGATGGGGTAGCAACGCATGCTTCAATTTGTCAGATGAGTGGCTCTACGAATGTTATGGAGACAGATTGTAGGGAGCATGTAGTCGTAGAGCTGGATTGTTGTGTTGCTTTCGATGTTAAAGCTCATAGTGCGCCTAATATGGGTTTTGAGGGGCTAAAGAACATGGAAACTGCTGCTTTTGATGTTAATGCTTATAGTACGACTAATTTGTGTTTGGATGAGCAGCATGGGCTAAAAAATATGGAAAGTGACGTAGTTACTGGAATTATGAGTTTAATCAAAGAGCCGAATATTTCCCTAATTAAATACCAGATTAAAGACTAAATATCCTTAATATTTAGTTAAATTATATGTTATATATTATATAATATTAAAATTTATAAATTAGTCTCTAAAATTACACCTAAATTCATAATGGTCCAAAATTTAATAGATATTTAGCTGGGCGGGCGGATGTGGGGCGGGCGGATGCGGGGCGGGTAATGTCTCAAACCCATTACCCGCCCACGACGGGTACCACTTTATAAATCCACACCCGCCCACTACCCGCTAAAATTATACACATCCCCGCTCCAATTGGAACGGATGCGGTGCGAAATCCACGAAACTGTACCCGCTTGCCATCCCTAGGCAACACATGTAATTTTCTATAAAAAAAATACTTTCCTTTTGACTTCATCTTCTACAATCTCTCATTTATTTATGAACTTAAAAATAAATTTTAAATACAAGAAAATGATAATTAGTACATAATTCTCAATTTTCAATTCAATAAAATAAGGGTAAATTATGTATTTAGTATCTAAATTATTAGTTTTGGTTTGTTTTAGTACCTAAACTTTTTAATTTTTTCAAAACCATATCTAACGTTTAGTTTTCATTTCATTTTAATACCTCGTCATTAAAAACTTAACACGTTTAGTATCTAAACTATCAATTTTAGTCCATTTTAGTACCTAAACTTTCATTTTTTCAAAACTTAAATTTTGAACGGGTATTAAAATCAAACAAAAACCAAAATTTTTAACGGTGTGTACTAAAATGAAATAAAAGTTAAACTTTATATATGATTTTAAGAAAATTAAAAGTTTAGGTACTAAAAATGATCAAAACTATAATTTATATATTGAACACGTAATTTACCCTAAAAATAAACCCACATTACTAGAGTTAAAAGATGATTTTGATTGAATAATTTCCAAAATTATCATTACAAAGTATACAAAATCATATTACAAGCAAGTAAATTACAATTTTTCATCATATTCTTTTGTTATTATGTAATTCACAGGTATATTTTTATCTATCCGTTTTAAATCGAGATTAATCTCACCAAGTTGTATATAGTATGTTAATGGCCTGCAGACCTTCTTGAATGTAAACAAAGCTGTAGTCTGCACCGGGCTTCAACACCTTAACCCATTGTGGAAGTTCATACGTGTTCTTCGCCGGAGCCGGAGTAAGACCCCATAAAGGCCCCCTCAGATCTTCCACCGCCACCTTCAAATCCGTTATCGTTCGGCTTTCCAGATATGTTCTTTATTACCACCTTGTGGCGGTAGTAACTTGTTTTCCCGACGTTCCATGTGTTGGTAATCGAGTGCAGGAACTTAACCGGTGAGCCACCTGCAGAATATTTGCAAACCCAGATTATAAGAATTTGCAACTAAATAAACATATATATATATATATATATATAGGCTAAACTCTCGAGATAACGTTCTCGAATAAATTAATTCACGAGATAATGCACTCCTCAGATTAATTGCTCAAATAGGGTGAAATCTACAGTGTTGGTCGTAGGTCGCCATGCCATCCGAGCGACCTACTAGGACGCCATGTCTTCCCAGCGAGCTATGAGAGAGATTGCATGTGTCATGCACGTTCCAACACGTTGGGCATCCGAAGCTATCCGACCGAGGGCATCCGACCGAGGGCATCCGACCGAGACCATTCGAGCGAGCTATGCGAGGGCATCCGAGGGCAAGAGAAATCACGCGAGGAGCAGGAGGAGTGCATGGCGACCTACAAGGTCGCCAGGAGTGCATGGCGACCTACTAGGTCGCCAGGAGTGCATGGCGACCTACAATGGGAAGCTGCCACGCCGTAGGTCGCCCGGAAGGCATGGCGACCTACGGCCAACACTGTGCAATTCGCCCTATTTGAACAATTAATCTTTGGAGTACGTTATATCGTTAAATAAAAAATTCGAGAATATTATCTCGAAAATTTTACCTATATATATATATATATATAACGAAGTCTTTGTTTTTGGTGTTCATTTTTGTTGTATTCACCTGGAGATTTTGTGCTAGGAATCGTTGTTTCCGGTTGATGGTTGCCTCTGGATCGTTGGGCGGCTGTTGGTCGTTTATGGTTTCCATATAGGCTTTCGAGCTTAGAGAAAAGGCCGACAAGCGGTGCGGTCCGGGAAAGTGTAGGCTCAGTTTGCTCATAATCGGAACGATCATCGTTGAAGTCATCGTTTTGATCCGGTCCGCCCACCAGTGCTCCGTAAACGATGTTCGGATCCGCTTCGGGGCGGCAGTACCAGTCCTCAAATCCACCACCGCAACTCACTAAAGAAGGAAGAGCTGAGATCGAGGCAATTGAAGCGCCGCGGTGGTGAACGTGGATCGGATATTTCGATCCGTAACCTACCAAGTTGCTCATTGACATGGGGTTTTTGCCTAGAATGTAGTCGGCTTGTAAAACAAATCCATGTATTTCAAAATTCGTATCCATGTGAGCATTTGCACACATATGTTGTGGATCGAATATTTCGATCCGTAACCTACCAAGTTGCTCATTGACATGGGATATTCTATGTCAGGGTACGAACTTGAACTTATAAAATTTTAGGGATAAATTTAAACTTATAAAATTCTGAAATACATAAAAAATTACACATGTGAGCATTTTGCACACATATGTATATGCATACAGGGACGAAAATATATTTTCATTAAAAAATACATAAAAAAATTCTGAAATATATGATAATTTTAAAATTTTAAGGGGTGCGAGTGCGACAGCACCTCCTAAGTCCATCCTTGTACGTGTGTGTATATATATTACCTGTGACTTAGCAAAGCTTAGAACTTCTTGAGGTTGAATTTGGCCATCAGGACAATTGAGTTTAGCATTTGCTGCAGAGAGATAATCAGAGTATACAACAAGAAGAAATGATGCTGCTGATGCATATTGCAGATTGTTCCATTCACGAACACACATTAAACCTCCTGGTTTACAAATAAAACCACATAAATCATTTACTTTTTTTCATAAAAGGACATGCATACATTCATACATACATACCAGGGGTGAGAAGTACATTGTAGCCATCATTCTTTTGCAGGCAAGAACAGGCAAAGTAATCAATCTGCTTTGGCCTGATATTGCTTTAGTGTTGAAGTGTATGCACCTCCTTTTTGCTCCATCAGCACCTGCAATGGCGCCACCAATCCTTAACTGCCTACTTTTGTGTAATAATTACTCGAAGCATCGAATATAATACGGGAAAATCGAGTTTACATTTGCATCCAGAGATGAACCTAGGCAGGTGGGTGGGGTGGTCGCCCCCTTAAAAATCTAAAACTATCATATATTTTAGATTTTTCTTTGTATTTTCTATCGAAAATCTGTTTTCGTCCCTCTAATTTTTTTTTTCAACCCTCCTGAAATTTTATAAGTTGAAGTTTGCCTCCTTATGCACCCGTCCCTGTTTGCATCATTCGAGTAATAGATGACAGGAAAGCAAAGAATAGATTAAACTCGAACATCTTTTACCTTTGACATAAGGATTTGCACACCAGCATACTTGTTGTCCCAAGAGAACTCTTGGACTGCACATCCCGTTCCTCCCATATAGACAGCATTGTCCACGACGTACTTCAGATATTGCTCCTCGCCGGTTGCTCGGAATAGCCAAGTCGCAGTCCACAACAGTTCATCCTTCAAAGAAAAAAAATCATTGAGAACAAAGAACATCTGCACATGATAAAGGAATGGGATGAACAAAGATAATATATTACTTACCGAATAATCGGACATTTATAAAACTGCTTAGCACACTGGATGGAACATCGTATAGGCCTCTAAATCTATCAGCAAACGAGAAAAACTGCGAAGATCGATCGAAGATTGAAACGTCGGTGAAAATGTGTACTAATAGAATGATATAATGGGATTATTAGATGTTTGTTTACCTGCTTGGAATGGACTAGGAGAAGATCCGAGTAAGAAGAGTTGTAATTAAGGCTTGAAAGCTATAGCAGCAGCAGCCGTTTCACCAGCAAGGTCCGAGCCTGGATGATTCTGGTCGAGCTTGTAAGCCGTTCTCGGGGTCGTCATGTCTTCTGCACGCTCCCAACAGTAGTGATCGGAGTCCCCATCGCCAACCTGATCGAATCGCGGATCATCATATTAACAAAACTCTGGTTTCTTACGATGTTGTCTTAACAAAAAAAAATTCCTACCTGTCCCCATAGGACATTAGGTTGAGTGTGAGCCTTGATGAAGTAATCCGTGCCCCATCGTATCGCCCACAAAGTATGTCACATTTGGTTCAGATCAGTGATTCCCTTCCTGTATTCAATAGTTACCCATGCGAGCATCGTAACCGTAAACGCCATCGGCAACCAGAACTTCACATGATCCCCTGCATCATAGTATCCTCCCACCAAGTCCTCCAACATTATCATCCCATCATCATCATCATCACCAAAACAAGTTCGAACACACACATGAGTTCTTACTTCAATCTTTTCAACTTACCCCTTGAAGAGAACCATCCTCGAGGCCGGAGTCACCTCGCCACTTGACGCGCCGGTCGAGCGGAAGCTTACCCGACCTTTGTGCCTCGAAGAACATGAAGGTCTTGTCAAGAGCATCACCGTAGTTGAACTCGGCTAGAACAATGGAGGCATGAAATCCCAGCAGGATAAAGCAAACACCTAAGCTCATCAAGTTGATCATGATTAGAAGAAATGGACCAAGATTGAGCTTAAACCCTGAATATTAAGACAAAAAATATTTGTCCGAAGTTGCCTGTGAATCTTTGCCTCTCATTTCAACATTGCTTTTATAGTAGAGATTTAATGCGGGAAAAAACATGTTTGAAAATTTGCCTGAATTTGATTACATGGTTATAGTTGTAGCCTCCACGTTTTATTTCCAACAACCAAGTAGAGCTTCTCACGTTCTACATTATAGTTTATAATTGTACGTGCGTGTAATATATATATATATATATATGTATGCTTGTACCTATATGTATAAAGGTTGACAAATAATGCAATGCAATATTCCTGACCGGAAATCAAGCGTTTCAGATAGCAAAATAGGCAGCCAACTTTCGGACAAAACATTATTAGGTTTCTAAACTAATTTAAATGCATGTTTAGTCTTAATCCCAAAAAAATGCATGTTTTAGTCAACCCTTAATTATGTATTGATTTGTTGCGACATTCTTTGGATTTCTTGCTACGTTAGACCGATACGAATCTGTATTTTTCTATATTATCATTAGGGAATGAAGATTCTTTTCTAGTTCGGATGTCTCTTTTGGAGGCTGCATCTTGATGTTTTACACTGATTTTCTTTAATGAGTTTTTGGATAAAATAAAAAAATAATTTATATGAATATGATGATTAGGGATGAGTTTGACATGAATATTATGAGTTTTGATTTGACAAGATTCTATAGGTATGCTTTTAAAATAGATTTGAGTTCGAGTCGATGAATATAAATTGCTTAATTTTGAAATGAATATAAGTCCTGGAATTATAAAATTTAAGAGGTTAAGACTTAATTTCACTAATTTTAAAAGCAAACAATCTTAGAATAATTAAACCATAAAAATTGAGAGTCAATGTTAAATATTTTTAGTTTTAAAACTAACACAGCACTGTAAAATAATTTAACTAAAAAAATGAGAGAGACGACAGCTTAATTATAAGTGATTTAAACTATAAGGTAAAAGATATAAATATCGAGAGTTATCGTTGTTTTATTGAGTTATTTGACTAAGGTTATTTAAATTGGATGTTAATCTGTTGATTGTAATATAATAAAATTATATTTTAATGATGTCTACTGACACCACTATCACTTTCAAGTACCGACTCGACAACATAATATTTCAAGTATTGGTTCGATGATATAATGTAAACAGAGTGTTGACCCACAAAATATAACTTAAATGCTTCTGGAATCATATTTTATCATATCATAATCAATATATTAACATCTAGTTTAATCTGAATCTAGTAATAGCTAAATAATTAAGATTCAAAATTTATTTTATATTTTTATAATTTAGAATCGAATCCGAATTTTTGAATTTGTATTCATATACGTATATAAATATAAATAATAATTATCTGAAAATATTTATAGGTATTTACTTCAAAAGTATATTGAAAAATAATTTTAATATTTAAAACTATAAGCATTAAATAAATATTCATACTATTGAATACGCAATGCAAATTGCAATCCTAAGACTATCGAAGTTAGTGATAAGGTGAAATTGATTCAATAGGCTATGTGGGTAAAAAGACGTTCCATTATTGGGAGTAATCAAATCAGAAGGAATATCCAATACCGATCGCAAAAACCAGATATTAGTTATTGTAAAGTAAATATTGATGGATCTAGAAACCCGAATAATAGAGGTGCAACTTGTGGAGCAGTAGCTAGAAACTATAAGGGTAATTGGCTATGGGGATTTGGCAAGAAAATAGGTCAATGTACCTTATTAGAAGCAGAACTCTGGGGAATTCACGAAAATTTAAGAATGGCGTGGATGAAAGGAGATAAAAAAATAATTGTAGAATCGGATAACAAGGAATCAGTAAACCTGATAAACAATGAATATACCGAACAAAGATATCCAACTATACTTCAACACATAAACATTCTGATCAAAAGAAATTGGGAGATAAAGATTCAGAACATACTGACGGAGGCCAACTGCGTCGCATATTTCATTGCCAAGCTAATGAGGAACCAACAAGAGGATACGGTCTTTCTGCACATTTACCCTAAGAAAGCTGAAGAGCTAATGAGAGAAGATACAACAGGCTTCTAAGAGTGGCTTAAAATTAATTAGATATTTTTTAAAATTAATTTGAAATTTACGATATTTATTAGAGTGATTTAAAATTTATCGTAATCAATTTAAATAAAAAAATATTATTTAGATAAATTTATCATTTAAATTTAAATGTATAAATTCATTTTATAGTGCAATATTTATCGTCGTATATCTCAAAATAAAATCTAAATTATTAATAGTTTAATTCTTTTATCCGCTTTGATTATTGGGTCAAGTGATAATGGCAGGCTTAGCACAAAGATGGTATTGGATCTGAATTAGAATAATGCATTATATCCAGTAAGATTTTGACGCTCGAAATTGCCCGCGTAGCCGTTGATAATCGACTACCACTAACCACCATTCCGGATAAGAAAAGCCGCACAAAAAACAACACACACTGACAAAAAACCCAGAGCTCTCCATCGCAGCAAAACGAAGCGATCAACAATGGCAGCAATGACCAATCTTCAAGTCACTGATTGCTCTTCTCTCTTCGCTCTTCGCCTTCCCCACCGCCCCTTAACGCTGCCCCACTCGCGCTTCATCGCCAAAGCTTCTCTCCAACAACCCCACCACCGTTCTTCTTCTTCTGCTTCGCCGCCGTCGCTTGTCAACCGGAGACAGATCATATCTCAAACGGCGTCGCTTTCGCTTTCCCTCGCGACTCTCTCGACTCTCCCACCGCCGGTCAAGTCGGAGGAAATTTTGTCGGAATGGGAAAGAGTCAACCTTCCCATCGATCCCGGTGTTGTCCTTCTAGACATCGCCTTTGTCCCCGATGACTCGAACCACGGTACTTCTCCTTTCTTTCAATGAGTATTTAACTTCTTATTTATGGGTTTTGTTTTCTTAGTTTGTTTTTGCTTCTTTTTAAAGGATTTTTGCTTGGGACAAGGCAGACTATTTTGGAGACAAAAGATGGGGGAAATACATGGGTTCCACGTTCAATTCCTTCAGCTGAGGATGAAGATTTCAACTATAGGTTTAACTCTATTAGCTTCAAAGGCAAAGAAGGCTGGATTGTTGGTAAACCCGCAATTTTGTTGTACACTTCAGATGCTGGAGAAAGCTGGGAAAGAATTCCATTAAGTGCTCAGCTTCCCGGAGATATGGTCAGTCTCTACCCCACCACTTGCACTAAGGGACTTAAATAGCGGTTGGGTATCAAAATAGTATCGGCTATATAACGGTAGCTGCTGCGGCCGACATTGTTTTGTCGAAAATTTCAGTGTGAAGCGGATTCAAACCTATAGCGGTGGTTTGCAGCCGCAATTTAGTGGCTAACGGCCAATTGCGGTAATACTGGACCGCTATTTCCGTAACTTTTTGATTAGGGATTTTTTTTAAAACATCCAACAGTTCTTTGCGGCAATTAAAATTATTATGTTTTACATAAATTGTGTAATTAAAAAAAATAATGACCGCAGTACCCATAGTGACTGCAATATTAAATGCAAGGCGACTGCAAATTTGTGGGTAACCGCAATTTAAATCCCACCTTTTCACCATATTATGCATTTCATTTTCAAGTAATGGGTGCATGTTTTGGTGCTTTTTTCGCATTAAATTTAGATGTTATTGTCAATGTATTTGCTAGCATTTGAACTCTGGAGTGTGCATATGTGGGAATATGGCTATTCTAAAGGTCGGTGATTCAAATGACTTGAATTAAATCATCCGGGTTTGTGCAGGTATATATAAAGGCGACTGCTGAAAAGAGTGCTGAGATGGTGACTGATCAAGGAGCAATATATGTTACATCAAACAGGGGCTATAACTGGAGAGCTGCTGTTCAAGAAACTGTCTCGGCTACTCTTAACAGGTGTGTGTCTGTCTAAAAAAAAGTTTAAGTGCATTGCTGATTCAGATAACCATTGTTGTAGAGGGTTTTATAGTATGAACCAATGAAACAAAAGTTTAGATATTGAAAGAAGTATATGTTTTTTTGTATGCAGTACATAAATATGATCATTGCTTTCATGTTCATCTTTATGTTGATGTGCTCCATCAAGTTTGTTATAGTATTATCGTACGCCCTTAACCAATTGGATTGCCATGAAATTAAATAGGCAACATACCCTTTCTGTGAAGAACTTCCTTAAGATTATTAATTGTATGTAGGGGAAACTACTTATATTGCTCTGTTACTTCTTCAGAACAGTTTCTAGCGGTATTAGTGGGGCAAGTTATTACACGGGAACTTTTAACACCGTGAATCGCTCTCCAGATGGACGATATGTGGCTGTCTCAAGCCGTGGTAACTTTTATCTTACATGGGAGCCTGGACAGGTATAAATCCTTCTGCATAGTTGCTTTCAGAGGATTTAAGGGAGTTGCCTCTCTTTTGAGATCTTCATACAGTCATACTATATGTATGTATGCAAAGAAACATAAAATATTATTGCTACATAGGGGAAAAAGAAAAAGTAACCGGAGAATGCTTCCTCATAACAGATATTGTTAAAAGTTGAAACGTACTGCTGGAAATGCCTCTATATGTTCTTCGGCACATTACTGAAACTATTTCATCATCTTACTCATTCCTCATGCATGAGTATGATTGATTTTTCATCGGTAAGATGCGAGGTCTCATGCACTTCTGTTGCTAAAGGTAGTGGACAGCCTTTTAGGAGCAGAAGAATTTGGTCCTAATGTGTGTTGTTGCTAATTATTATTCTGGTTTTTAATTAACCGTATGCAGCATACTTATTAGTACTCTCTTATATTTTGCAGCCATTCTGGCAACCACATAATAGAGCAATTGCAAGAAGAATACAGAACATGGGATGGAGGGCCGATGGTGGTCTTTGGCTTCTTGTCCGTGGCGGAGGACTTTTTCTTAGCAAAGGAACAGGGGTAAGAAAAGTGATAACCTTCCTCATTTTAGTCATGTAAATGTTTAAAATGATTCTGAAGAAACTGTAAAAATAAGATACAATTTCATAAATAACTCCTCAATTTAGCATGGTTAATATGGTGAAAGAGTTGTCAACTTCCTAGAGGCTGAAAACCATAGGCTAGTTCTCATGTTAAAATGTGACTTTTACCATTTTACTAGGCTTAGGAAGAATGCAGAAGTCGGAAAACTGAAAAACATAGGTAACCCTTGAAGGTTTTCATTTAGGACATTGAAAAAACTAGCATGATTGCTTCTAAAGGATGTAATTTTTCATGAATGTAATTGGCTGCTAACTTTTTTCACCACCTTTAGTAATAAATTTAAAATACTTTCATCTGATATTCTTAATACAGACCCTATCATCTTGTTTGGTTCATGCTTTTTAAATTGGCACCGATACCTAATTCTCGTCATTATTTTTGTTCATTTTAATTTCTGATGTTCCAGATAACAGAAGATTTTGAAGAAGTCCCTGTACAAAGTCGTGGCTTTGGCATTCTTGACGTTGGTTATCGATCGGAGGTAACTATTACATCCTTAGATATTTGCCACACTGTTTTATCCAATTCTACAGTGTGGCTTCAAGGGAATCTGGATGAGCAATTGCAGCATCAAATTCCTGTGTTACTGGCGGAAACCTAATGTGGAAACATGCCCATGCATATTTGATGCCATGCAACTCACGTATATGTTGCATATTTCATGCATGTATGTGCACACATATGCTGGCATATCCATTGATGTGAAATTACTGGTTTAGTACACGATATGTGCATAGCAAGATGATAGCATTGTGAGCTATATCCCATCTAACAGATTACATGAATAATGCACTGGCACCTTGTTCCGAGGGTGCGATCAAATTCTATTCTAAGGCTTCTTTCTATAGTGGTATAGGCTTTTCCTTTTACCCTTTTATATTTCTGAACTGCACTAACCAAATTTTGATTGTATAGGATGAGGCTTGGGCAGCAGGGGGCAGTGGGGTTTTGTTGAGAACTACCAATGGTGGGAAGAGTTGGACCCGTGACAAGGCAGCTGATAATATTGCCGCTAATCTGTACTCAGTGAAGTGAGTCTATTCTTACTAAAAACTACTTTGGTTTTTTCTAAGTTATTTTTGGGTTAACTTTCTACTGCTATTATCATTACGATCTGCTATGATCCTTTGGTAGTTAATATTAGATCTTTTTAATTTCATCTCGTAGTAAACTTAAACCAGTGACCATGACCGAGGCATTGATGAAGTCAAGCATGACTTCCAGAAAACCTTCTCCATGCAAACAAAGTCAACTTATGGCTTAATAGCTTGAAGTGAAGAATTTTATGTTTAGGGGTTAGGATAAAAGATTATCAAATTCTAAATCTTTGAGGGTGCCAAAACTGGTTTTTAACCATTTTAGAGTTCAACAACTGTTAAAGCAACTAGAGGAAGTTTGGCATATTTCTAACCCAAGAAGCATCTATCTTACTTAAATGTGTTCAACATGGGTATGCTTAACTGTTTCTAATTTTTCCACGTGTGCTGGACATGGGTTTTTTTTTTTTTTTTTGCGAAAAGTAAAGAATCCGAATAACACAAATAAGCATTATTCTTAGTTCAAGCTTACAGATTAAATGCCTACCCCAATTCATGGTTTTCAAACTGAATCACAACTAAACTAAACTGAAAAAAGGAAGCAACATTAGATGTCCAATGCCTATTTCCCCTAAACCCTTAAAGTTTCTTAGCTTTGAATGCAATTGATATGGTAATCTTCTATGCAGGTTTATTAATGACAAGAAGGGATTTGTGCTCGGTAATGACGGTGTCTTGCTCCGGTATCTCGGATAAAGCTGTTATCCATAAACGGTAATCAGCTCGATTTTTATCTATTAATATCCTATATACCACATATTATACTCGTAAAACAAAACTTACGAGTTCATGGTGAACACTTTGCAGTAGAGAAGTTCATGGCATTTGCATTTGCATTTGAATTCTGCAGGTGCTTGCAATTTTGTATAGCTGATTTACATTACTTTCTTGGTGGTGATATTAAGAGGGAAAAAGAATTTCCATCAATGTGATTATGTTTTCTTGTCTTTGCTTCTCTTTTTAGTCGATATGATTAATATATTTACAACAAAATGGTGTACCTGTTATGTGAATGCATTCAAGAAAGTACTATGATGTTGTATCCAATGTATTCATACATGTGTATTGGTATGTGGTATTACTATAGTCCTCTAAATGCATGAAGCTTGGGGATAACAGCAGGTCGGGTTGGCTAAAAAACCGATATATATATATATATATATATATATATATATATATATATATATATATATATATATATATATATATATATATATATATCGAATTTAAAATATAAATTATTGGGTTTTAAGATTCTTTAACGACATCAAAAGATCTCCACATGTTCTTCGATCATTTTGGCAAATGTTCAAACCTTGCACATTGTCATCGCTGCATTAGTCCTTGTTTGACTAATCTAATTGGTCTTTAATTTATGCGCTGTTTTAGCCTCTTAAAAGCACTCATGTTTCTTTCTCTTAAGCTTCCAACAACCATTTGATCCTTTGTCCGTTGATGAGACCACTTTCCTACCTGGTAGAGGAATTTTTAGTGATGAGCAACGAAACTGAGAAAATTAAAAAATTAATTTGAATCGGATTATTTGGTTTCGTTCGGTTCAAGTTTTTTAATTTTATATTTGATTTTGGTTTGGTTTAAAAAAAATAAATATGTAATTCAATTCGGTTTCAGTTTTTTCATATGGAGATCTTTTGAACTGAATTAAAGAAATAAAAGATAATAGATATCCAAAATACATTGATTTTAAATTTATTATAAGACAAATTTAAATAAATAAAATACTAAAACTAATAATATTTTTTTATAAATTTAAATTTATATATTTGTACTCATCTGAAGCTTTAAATTTGTTTTTTAGAGGTTGAGTTTGAAAAATAATGAATAGCAAAAAATTATCGAACCGAATCGAATAAAAACCGTGGTTTTTATACCATTCGACTTTGGTTTTGGTTTTCATTTTCAAAAACCTGTAAAGTATAGTTCAATTCATGTTTTAGTGAAAAATTGAATCGAACCGAATACACTCCTATGTATTTGTTTGATAAAGTCGATGAGAAAGTATAATATTACTCTGCGTATATGTCGGATCGGATCAAGTTTTTAATCGACACTGACCTGAATTTGATTTGAGTATTTTATCAATCTAATCGCGGTCTAACATTAATTTAAGGGTATTCTTTTTTTTTTATCTAAATTGTGACTTAATTTTTAAATTAAAAATTGTATTAATCTAACTCGACATGATATATATATATATATATATATATATATTAAGAAAATTGGTCAAGTTTTTTAATTTTTTCTTTTATTATCCTTCCTAACCTAAAAGGATAATAAAAATGATATATTAAAATAAATCAAATAAATGGAGTTTTAAGTAATATATTATCTTTAAGAGAAAATAACCTCAGTGACCAAAAATCCCATATAATATACGATTTTAACCAACTTTTTCCGGATTTGCCAAAATGACCAACAAAATCGCAATGCGATCGCTAATTCGCAACGCGATCTCCATTATCGCAAATTCGCGTTGCATTTTCGCAACGCGATAGTTGAAAATCGCGTTGCGATGGTCTACAGTATCGTTGCGATTTTCCCAATTCGCAATGCGAATAAGTAAATCGCAACGCGAATTGGGAAATTCGCAATGCGAATAAGTAAATCGCAACGCGAATTGGGAAAATCGCAATGCGATAATAAAAAATCGCAACGAGATACTTACTTTCGCAACGCGATACTGACTTTCGCAACGCGATAATACATAATCGCAATGCGATTTTCAAAGCGCCATTAGTATCCTGGCCAAGTATTTTATTTTTAAATTCCAAACATGAATATAAATATATTGGAACACTGAACTGTCCACAGTATATCCCGTAATCGCAACTCATAACCTAAAACCTAAAATCACAACTCAGTCCCATCTCCATCTCTCACTCTCTCACTCATCTCCGACGAAATCCGTCCCCATCTCCGGCGAAATCCGTCTATCTAAATCTCTCAGAGCCACCCTCACAATCAGAAATGGAAAATCAACCAAATCAACCAACGAGGGTTAGTTTTTTTAATTATTTTCTTTTTGAAATTTTTGCATTATTATTAGGTTTTTCATATTGAAATTGATGATAGGTTTACTGGTAATTTCAATAATAGATTAACCATTTCACTTAGATTGCTTATTAAATCAACCAAGAATCGCAACGCGAAATGCAAATCGCAACGCGATTTTAGTTTCGCGTTGCGATTCTCTCGTTGCGATAGTCATTTTCGTGTTGCGATTTTCATTTTCAGAAGCTATTCTTCTTCTGCAAATTGAAACTTGAATGAATTGCATTACTTCAACCAAAAAACAAAGACAAATACGAAATTCACAGTGTTGCATATTTAAGTTTGAAGAATAAACTACTACTATTTATGTTTATTATTGTTTTTGGTATATCTTCACAGTGTAGTTTTGGTATATCTAATTTAGTATGTTTATTGTTTTTGTAGAACTTTATTCGGCTCAATTGACCTTGAGAAATAAAGTCAGCCTGGCCAAAACAATTGCGTCGAAGCTTTCACCTGCACAAAGAAAAATGTTTGAGGATACATGCTTCGGCCATGGCTGAAAGTACAACATCCCGGTGGAGATGCGATGTTGACACACCTGTTTCTTCAAACCATGACTAGAGATCTACCAGAGACTATACAACGTCGTGATGAATAGATATGGTTTGATTTTCCACCGGCGTATACGTGTTTTGGGCGGGAGGAGTTTTGCTTAATCACCGGTCTACGCTTCGGACACGATGATGTAGGTCGGTACACTAGACACATTACCCGCCCATCATGGCTATCCCGGGTTTTTCCTGAGCTGGAGAGGCCGAGTCTACACGTAGAAGACCTGACAAGATTTTTGAATAATAAAGATGGTTTTACTCGGATGGATGACGTCGACGTTGTCCGAGTATGCCTTCTAATTCTTTTGCATGCCGGCTTTTTAGGCAGAGAGGCCAGACAACCTATTCCAAATGATCTAATCAAATTGGTAGAAGACCTAAATGCGTGGAACCTGTTTCCGTGGGGCTCGTATTTATGGAAAGCTACATGGAATAAGTTATCGTCTGCCTTGGATGATCGAAAAAGTTTGCATGGCGATGGTTCCAAATACACTTTGACAGGCTTTATTTGGGCCTTTAAGGTAAGAATTTTTATATAATGTTTCCAAAATTATAAGTAATTATTAACAATTACTAATGTTTTATTATATTGTTTGTAGATTTGGATATTTGAGGCCTTTCCCGCCATGAAGACATATGCAATAAAAACTTCAAATAATATTCCCAGGGCTATTTCCTGGAAGAGGAAACGAACCTTGCAATGGGAAGATTTACTACGGTATACGACAATAAATAATGTAAGTTAACATAAATACTACCATATGTTTATAAACAAGTTATTACTAGTACACATTTAACTTTGTTTAAGCTTTTATATTGTTAGGAGGCCAACACTCCTCTACAGAGGCTGACACCCACGGAAGCTGAGCTTGCCACTGATTGGTGGCAAGCTAGTAAGCGTTTTTTGATGGAACGGTTGATGAGCAGCCTCCACTTCGGGAGCCATCACCTCGCCCAGAGCTATCACCTCACCTAGAGCCATCATCTGATCTACCCGGCTATACACCTCCACAACGACAGCCATCACCTATTCTTTCACATCATCGAGCCTCTTCTCCACCATCACCGCAAGATAGGCGACCGGCAAAGATGTCACGACGTTATCTCCCTGTTCTCCACCTCCACCTCAACGGGATGAGTTAGGGGAGTTACGTGATGAGGTCAATGCCTTGCGTGAGGAGGTCGGTACTTTACGCAAAGACGATGGTGCATGGCGTGTTGAGGTGTCTACATTACGCGGTGAGGTAGCCGCTCTACGTGAGATGGTAGCATCGTTGCATAATGAGGTTCATACTCTACGCAACGAGGTAAGTTTAAGATTTTTCATACTCGTAATTCATTCGGTTGCTGCCAATCTATTTTTGTTAGTATTTGTTTTTGGTTTTGTTTTTGTCTTTTGGTTGAAGTAATGCAATCCATTCAAGTTTCAATTTGCAGAAGAAGAATAGTTTACTTTCGCAACACGAAAAGACTATCGCAACGCGGAAATGGCTATCGCAATGCGAAATGAAAATCGCAACGACAAAATCGCAACGCGAAATGAAATCGCAACGACAAAATCGCAACGCGAAATGAAAATCGCAATGCGATTTGTGTTTCGCGTTGCGATTTTGTCGTTGCGATTTCATTTCGCGTTGCGATTTTGTCGTTGCGATTTTCATTTCGCATTGCGATAGCCATTTCCGCGTTGCGATAGCCATTTCGCGTTGCGATTTTAAGTTTCGTGTTGCGAAAGTAAACTATTCTTCTTCTGGAATGTTTATATATGTTGTCCTTTTAAATGTTTATATAAGTGCTTACTTCTGGAATGTTATCTGAGCATTTGTGAACTATGATAGAATAATGATTTAGGTGAATACAATGCTAGTTTGAAACATATTTGTCTTTGTTTAATATCATGTCTGTTTATTTACTGATTTATGTATTAATTTTTTTAGCGGCCCGATAAGGTGGATGCTTTACGTCGGGTTTTCCTTGCACGACGGAGTCCACGCATCAGACGGCGTGGACGTGCTATTACGTCTCCGTTCACCCCAATGGTGCGAAGACTCCGCAAGAAGAAGCCCGACTCACCGGTCATCCCTCAAGAGTCCCCTCCAATCGTTCAAGAGGCCCCTATTCTCCCTCAAGATTCCCCCCCCACCGTTCAAGAGACCACTGTCATCGTTGAAGAGGTCCCTCCCACCATTCCAGAGCCCGATTCACATGGGGTAATATATCGAAGTATTGAGAAACCCCCACCGGTTCCGGACATGATGGATGAGAGTTGGCTCTCGTATGAGTTACCGGCTAGTACCCTTCCGGTATCTGAAGTGGAGAGGAGACAACTACCGGAAACAA